ATATTAAATGGATTACTTTTTGTATGTTGAACCAACCTTGCATTCTTGACATAAAACGCAGTTCGTCTTGTTATGTAATCTTCTTTATATTTGCTGGGTTTGGTTTGCTAGTATTTTGTTGAGGATTTTTGCTTCTGTATTCATAAAGGCTATTGGTTGGTCTAAAGTTTTCTTTTCTTGTGATGCTTTTGATTTTGGTATGAGGATAATGCTAGATTAATAGAATTAGTTGGGAAGTGTTTCCTCTTCTATTTTTTTGTAAAAATTTGTGAAGGATTGGTGAATTTCCTTAATTTTTTATAAAATTTCTTTGAATTCTATCAAAGAAAAGCCATTTGGTCCTGGGCTTTTCCTTTGAAGTTTTTTGATTACTAATTTAATCTCTTATAATAAGTCTGTTCAGATTTTCCATTTCTATTTCTTTTTTGTTTAAAAATTTTTTTTGTAGTTGTAGATGGACAGAATACCTTTATTTTAGTTGTTTATTTTCATATGATATTAAGGATCGAACCCAGTACCTCACACATGCTAGGCAAGTGCTCTGCCACTGAGCTACAGCTACAGCTACAGCTCTCTATTTCTTCTTGTTTCAATTTGTCTTCCTAGGAATCTGTCCTTTTTACCTAAGTTGTCTAATTTGTTGGCATACCATTGTTCATAGTTGTCCCTTTTTTGTAAGGTTGGTAATTATAGCCCCTCTTTCATTTTAATCATTTGAGCCTTCTTTCTGTCAGTCTAGCTAAAGGTTTTTAATTTTGTTGACCTTTTCAAAGACTAACTTTTGATTTTATTTATTTTCTTCATTTTTATATTCTTTATTGACTTCTGCTCTTTTTGGGGGGTGAGGAGGATGGTTTCAGGGATTGAACTCAGGGACACTCAACCACTGAGCCACATCCCCAGCCCTATTTTGTATTTCATTTAGAGACAGTGTTTCACTGAGTTGCTTGGTGCCTCGCTTTTGCTGAGGCTGGCTTTGAACTCCTGCCTCAGCCTCCTGAGCCACTGGGATTATAGGCATGTGCCACCTCACCAGGCTTATTCTTTTTTATTTCCTTCTGCTTGCTTTGAGTTTCATTCACTCTTCTTTTTCTATTAAGATGGAATTCTAAGTTACTGATTTGAAAAGACTTTCTTTTTAGATTGCAAACTAGAATTGGTGATCATAATCCTTAAATTTTTTTTTAAAGAGAGAGTGAGAGAGGGAGAGGGAGAGGGAGAGAGAGAGAGAAATTTAATTTTTTTTTTTTTTTTTATCAGTGGACACAACATCTTTGTTTGTATGTGGTGCTGAGGATCGAACCCAGGCCGCACGCATGCCAGGAGAGCGCGCTACCACTTGAGCCACATCCCCAGCCCATGCTATTCTTTAAAAAAAAAAAAAAAAAATTGTAGTTGTAGATGGACAGCATGCCTTTATTTTATTTGTTTATTTTTATGTGGTGCTAAGGATTGAATCCAGTGCTTCACATGTGCAAGACAAGCGTTCTGCCACTGAGCTACAGCCCCAGCCCACATTATGCTATTCCTTAATAAATTAAGAGAATTGAGTGCACAAATAGATTTTTCAAATTTTGGAGTGTTTTACTCATTCTCAGGAGTTCACTGCAGTTTAAAGATTTGACTGTTATAACCCTGTGTGCTCAAAACTGCACTATCAGTCTGATAGTTATTTACCATATATGGTAACTCTATGTACTAGAGATGGCCAACTCCCCTATGTTAATTTGAAGTATGTTAGTCAGTTGGATATAGAGTCTTCATCAAAGTCCATTCTTAGCATTTTTCTTTTACATTTTCTCCTTTGGCACTTAGCAATGCATGCTGTAGGTATCTCCCGTTTTTCTTTATTCCTTCATTTCCTCCCTTAAACAGTTACTTGACCAGAGTCCCTTTTGTTCATTATGCAGACATGTCTTTGCTTTGAACCTAACTGATTTGATGGATGCTACAGTTTCTTATCATAGATTTTTTTTTCCTGCTCTACATAAAGTTTTGTTTGATGAACTCAGCAATTTCCCACATTTACTGGGTCACTACTCTGGCATTTGGACATGCTATCATGTTAACTCCCATTTTCTTTTGTAATTCACAAACTTTCTTTTATTAGATATATTACTTTATAATCAATGACCTTTATACTATTCTAATTATATATTTACACAAAAAATAAACTTATATCTAAAATATTGCTACCTTTTTTCTAAATGTTCAAGTCTTGCCATAGCTTAGTGACTTAAAGGAAATAAGATTGAAAAAAAAAGCCACTACAATGATTAGTTGGCTTTTRTAAGTTTATTCAACTTTAAGAACATTATGATTATTTAGACAAAGGAGAAGAAAGTCAAGTGAAAACCTAATAGTTATGTAGTTTCATGAAAGCTTGGTGTTCAGAGACTGGTCACAGCTGTTTTCCTTCTCTAGGAGGCTGACAGAAAGTGGGCTTTGAATGCAACATAAACATGTTGGGTTAGACAGTTTCTCTGCAGTACAAACAATGGATGAGTTGCCCAGAAAATTGCAAAATACTCTTTAATGATCTTTAAAGATATAATGGACACTAATTCATCTGGATATGTTTAGGTGTGGTCCTGGTTAAAGACAAAGGGAAGGATCAGATAACTTCACGCTTTTTCCATTTACCATACCCAATAGATTCTTGATTAAGGTTAAATGAACAAGATACAACCCAATATCCTAAAAAACAATCTGCCTTCAGGGATCATTATAAAAGCATCTGTTTTGGACTTAAGTTTTCAGTACTTAACCAAATTTACTACATATTGAAAAATTCTAGTGCCTGGGTTTTATAGAGTAGAAGGAAATGGAGTCAAGTGGCCAACACTTGATGTTAAGATCAGCAATGAGATCCTCCTTGCTGTCTTTCTGTTTTGACTTTTCTGGACAGTATCAAATTAGTTTCAGTGGCTTGATTCTAGGCCAAGATTCTGGCAAGAGATTGTAGTCTTATTTTGTTCGGTCTCACTGGATCTGTCTCTCTCTCTCTCTCTCTCATTCTCCCCTTAGGCTGAGGGTAAAAAGCTAGGATTGGTAGGCTGGGTCCAGAACACTGACCGGGGCACAGTACAAGGACAATTGCAAGGTCCCATCTCCAAGGTGCGTCGCATGCAGGAATGGCTTGAGACAAAAGGAAGTCCCAAATCACACATTGACAGAGCAAATTTCAGCAATGAGAAAGTCATCTTGAAGCTGGATTATTCGGAGTTCCAAATTGTGAAATAATGGCCTGAATTTAAATTTTCYAAGAAAAACTCAGTTTTGGTTTTTACTATTAATATAGAACTATTCTGTGTTCAATATTAGAATTAGTTATTTTTGTATCAAATATTTGTAACTGTATGTTACATGTGTGATRGAACACAACTTTACACAATTCTAATAAAACACTTTAGAACCATGTACTTACGTTTTTTTGTTTGTTTTTTTCCTGTGCTGGGGATTGAACTCAGGGCCTTGCACATGCTAAACAAGTACTGTACCACTGAGCTACATCCCCAGCCCTGTTTATGCTACTTTCTTAAATCCTTAGTGAACTGCCTTTGGGGCAAAATGAAATATTTATTCAATAAACATTTGTGGGAGAAATATTTTTGAGATCATTTAAAGAAGTGTGAAAGAAAAAGCAGTTACTTTGAATCATTTCTTTAAGTGGTTTATATGAAGTTTTCTTCAGGAAACTGCATGCCTCATAAGAACAAATGCCACCAGTTTAATTTGTTAGCAGTTTCAATGATGTTTTGGACTAATTACTCTTAGTTTTCTGGAAGTTTTGCTGTCATTCCTTTCCTCTGGRTAAGAGATTCACATAAAGTAATGTTATTGGCTGAATTTGATCCTCCCAAATTCATAGGCTGAAGTCCCATCCCTCCATCTCTGAAAGTGACTATTTGCAAATAGGACTTTTAAAGAAATAATTAAGATTAAGTAGGCTCTAATCCAATCTGACCGGTGTCCTTACAATGAAGAGGAAATTTKGACACAGATATGTGTATGAACAGACAAAAGACCATGTGAAGACAGCTATTCACAAAGCAAGGAGAGGCCTCAGAAGAAATCATCCGTGCCAGCACCTCCTGAACTGCGAGAAAATAAATTTCTGCTGTTTAAACCACCCAGTCTGGTATTTTGCTATGGAGCCCTAGCAAACCTAATATATGCAGTAATCAGAATTTTACTTCATCAGCCCCAGAAGTCTGATTTGGTTTGGTTAGTGACTGAATATATTTCCAACAGTAATTAGGCTTAAATATTTTGTCATAAGATCCAGTTTTTTAAAAAACAAGGTTTCAATGAAATTGAGACAGCAGAACTGAGRATTGGTTAACAACTCCCAAAGCATTTATTCTCAGTGCTCTTAAGAGTTCTGCTTTTCGTCAGTTAGGAAAGAGGCTGCCATGGCATTGGGAAGATACCAAAAAAATCAGTGAAGGGAGACCTAGTGTCTTATTTGTAAACAGAGAGTTGAGCTAATTTCTCAGTCTGTTCCAACTCTGTAAAATCATTCTAAGATGGAAGGTTCCAGATTTGGTCACTGAATGCTACCATAGGTCAGACACTGTTCCTGGCAGTGGGGTACAGCAGAAATATAACGGACAAAAAAACCAAACCGTCACATCGTGTATATTCTAAGGGGGTGCAGGGGATACGCAAATAAATGAAATACACTAAATTAAATAGTATGTGCAAAGGAGAAAAAATGAGAAAGGATAAAATAAAATTACCAGAAAGAGGCCGGGCCCAGAGACTGGTTCAAGGCCAACCTGGGCAAATTAGTGAAAACCTGTCTCGGAAAAGAAAGAGGGGGGCGGGGGGGGGGATGAAGACGGAGCTAGGGAACTTGGGCTGGGAGTGTGTGAAGGCTTGCCGGGAGCGAGACTCTCGGGCAGGTAACACCTGTGCGCATGCGTGCTGGGTGTCGCGGGCAGAAGCGCGCTCGCGGCAAGTCTGCTGTGAAGCGCATGCTCGTGAGCTCGCGCGCACTCACTGGAGCCCAGGTGCGCGCGGCCGGCGTCCGTGGCGGTTGATATCCGGGAGTKGGTGAAGCGCGTTTCGAGGTGATTTGGGGGAAAGCACGTGGCGAAAGGACGATCCCGCGAGCTCTTCTACCACCAGAAGGGCTGTGGTGGCAGCTGCGGGCCAGCCTTTTGAAGCCAGTGCGCAAGAGCCACGCGAAGCCCCTGCGGCCTTCCGACTGCGCGGGCGCCTTTAGCGGGTGACCGGCGAGTTACGTCGCAGGCGGGGGAAAGGGAGGGGGTGGAGCCTGAGGCCTGCGAGGCCCGGCAGGAGAGACCCGGCTTGCGGTCTCCTGGCCTTGGTAACTCCGCACTCGCAGGACTTGGGCTGTTTCTCCAGGAACCTTGGCCCTGGAAGTCCTGGGATGTAATAGGAAATCGTTGCTTTGGGTTTAATCAGAATACTTATTAAACACTCACCCCACCCCACCCCACCCCGTATGCTGTCCTCTGCTACATTAACCATCCGAGGTTCTGCAATTACAAGCCCTGKTTTCACGAGGTTTGGAAAACCAGCCACCTGCAAAGGAGTGCAGCCATGCTTCCCTCTTACTTATGAAGAAGAGTGGGGTCCTTTACTGCTCACAGAACCTTATTTTTTCCTGCAAGAAAACTTAAAAATCAAAGGCTTATATGCAAAGGAGTTTCTCTGTCTCATCCATTCTGTTCCCAGCCTCTTCCCTGAGGCAACTACGTTTAACCAGTAATAATAACAAGTCATCATAATCTCTTAATGCCTGTCTCTTCTTGATAGAAAAGTTGGACTTTTTTATTTCCTCCCATGGCTTTACCTTCCTACTTACAATATCTTAGCACTTCATTATAAGTTTTTCTAAAAGTCATGGTTATTGTGTAATGTATGTTATGAAACTAGCTTGGATTTTTTTTTCATGAATAATTTCTAGCTAATGTTTCTTAGCTGAATTTAATTTAGGCATCTGTTTTTGGTGAAGTGGTTAGAATTTCGAATACTGTCTTTACGGGTCAACATCAAGTTAATTACGATTTCACTTAAGGGCATGTGGGATTTAGAAAGAAGCAATGAAATTATGAATGCCTCTTTGGATGTTAAGTCCATTGCATCAAGCATTAGTTGTGTGATCTGTCTAGAAATAAGAGGGATAATTTTGTTTTGTTTCATAACTTGGTTTAATAAGAGATTCCATTTACCTCAAATGATATTTCTTCATATAATACTTGAGAGAAATGGATAATGCTGTGTAACTCTGAAACTTTGATAGTGTTTTTTTTCCCCAATAGGCAATTATTTCCATTCAGAGAAGGAAACCAGTGCCTGGCATTCTCATCACCTCTACCTGCCATGATCAAGTGCTTGTCAGTTGAAGTACAAGCCAAATTGCGTTCTGGTTTGGCCATAAGCTCTTTAGGCCAATGTGTTGAGGAACTTGTCCTCAACAGTATTGATGCTGAAGCAAAATGTGTGGCCATCAGGGTGAATATGGAAACCTTCCAAGTTCAAGTGATAGACAATGGATTTGGGATGGGGAGTGATGATGTGGACAAGGTGGGAAATCGTTATTTCACTAGTAAATGCAACTCGGTAGAGGACTTGGAGAACCCAAGGTTTTATGGTTTCCGAGGGGAGGCCTTGGCAAGCATAGCTGACATGGCCAGTGCTGTGGAAATTTCATCCAAGAAAAACAGGACAATGAAAACTTTTGTGAAATTGTTTCAGAATGGAAAAGCCCTAAAAGCTTGTGAAGCTGATTTGACTAGACCAAGTGCGGGGACAACCATAACGGTTCATAACCTATTTTACCAGTTACCCGTGAGGAGGAAATGCATGGATCCTAGACTGGAGTTTGAGAAAGTCAGACAGAGGGTAGAAGCTCTCTCACTCATGCACCCTTCTGTTTCTTTCTCTTTGAGAAATGATGTTTCTGGTTCTATGATTCTTCAACTCCCTAAAAGCAAAGACATATGCTCCCGGTTTTGTCAAATTTATGGTTTAGGCAAGTCCCAAAAGTTAAGAGAAATACATTTTAAATACAAAGAGTTTGAGTTTAGTGGCTATATCAGCTCTGAAGCACATTACAATAAGAATATGCAGTTCTTGTTTGTGAACAGAAGACTGGTTTTAAGGACAAAGTTGCATAAACTTATCGACTTTTTATTAAGAAAAGAAAGTACTATATGTAAGCCAAAAAATGGCTCTGCCAGTAGGCAGATGAATTCAAGTCCTCGGCATCGGTCTACCCCAGAACTCCACGGGATATATATCATCAACGTGCAGTGCCAGTTCTGTGAGTATGACGTGTGCATGGAGCCAGCAAAAACTCTGATTGAGTTTCAGAATTGGGATACTCTCTTGGTTTGCATTCAGGAAGGTGTGAAAATGTTTTTAAAGCAAGAAAAATTATTTGTGGAATTATCAGGTGAGGACATTAAAGAATTCAGTGAAGATAGTGATTTTAATTTATTTGGTGCTACTCTTCAGAAACATGTGTCCTTAGATGAGAAGCATGACCAGGGCGGTTTCCAGGAAGCGTGTAATAATATTTTGGATTCTTATGAAATGTTTAATTTGCAGTCAAAAGCTGTGAAAAGAAAGGCTACTATAGAAAATATAAACACACAGAATTCTGGGGATTCAGAAGCTATCAGAAGAAAGACAAATGGCTCATTTTTGTACACTTATGAATCAGATGGCCCCAGTCATAGTAATATGACAGAGTTATCATTATACAACAAAGACAGCTGTTGCTTAGAATCAAGAATGTTAGAACAAGAGACAGTTGAAATATCAGAATCAAGAGAAAGTGAGAAACATAAAAAATCTTGCTTGGAACATAACTCTTTAGAAAGTCCATATGGAATCAATTCAGAAATGTTTTCAAGCCCTTTTCAGATACAACATCACTTTGAGGAGAGTGGGGTAGATTTAGAAGTACAGAAAGAAAGTACAACTGCTAGTGGCATGGCTGCCAACATCTTGAAAAACAAAAGAATTCAGAATCAACTTGAGAGATTTGAAGATGCTACTGAAATGGGATGCCAGTCTCTGCCTTTTGAGACAGGATTATTGAGCATACATAGTGCTCAGAGAGAAAAAGAGCCCAGTGATTGTGGAAGAATAAATRTTTTTAGGTATGGACAAGTAAAATTGTGTTCCACTGGCTTTATAACTCATGTCCTTCAAAATGAGCAAACTAAATCAACTGAAGCAGAACATTCATTTAAAAATTATGTATGGCCTGGTCCTGCAAGTGCCCAAGAAACATTTGAAAGTAGAACATGTCATTCATTTGAGCCTCCAGACATCAAAGGTTTAACCAGCACTCTAAGTAAAGAATCTGCTCAACTGCTGAGCAAAAATTTTTGCAGACAAAATACAAGTTATGGGCTAGAGAACAAACCTATAGCAAAATGCAAAAATGTTACTGTTTTTCAGGAAGGTGATAAAGAATCACACACAGGTTGCTTATTGCCCGATATATCCTCTTCTTTCCCTTGGTGTAGACAAGTTTCAAATGGTATTAAGAAAACAGATAAATTGATTGGTTCCTCCAAACCTGTAGGCCCAAAGAAGCTAAGCTTGACTTCACAACTAGGATCTTTAGAGAAGTTTAAAAGACACTATGGAAAAATTAAAAATCCTGTAGATACAGAAGTGGAAGAAAATAATATTGAAGTTATTACCAATCTTGGTCTTCAAGTCAAACCTGACACTCCACTGAAAGATAAGAACCACTTAGAAAATTCTGACATCTGTAAAATCACTACTATAAATTGTATCAACTCAAATGGTAGTTGTCAACCAGTAAGTCACATCCTGTGCTCAGAGAAGTTTCCACTTTCCAAAGAAGATTGTTTGGAACAACAGATGCCTTATTTGGAAGAAAGTCCTATAACTCTAATGGAGTTATCTCACTTGAACAAAAAACCTTTGGATGTTGAGAAGTCACCTGAATCACTGGCCTCTAAATTATCCAGACTGAAGAGCTCTGAAAAAGAGGCTCAAACTATGGAGATTAGGAGTCATTTTATTGAACTTCCAAATTCAGATTCCAGCAGGGAAGACAGTAACTTGTACAGTGGGTTAAACCTAGATTTTTGTGAGTTGTTTAAAAATGAACCTGAAAAAACAGACAGCAGCATCCTCCCAAGGTCAGATACTGTCATTGAGGTTATTGAGGATAATTCCCTCAATGAAAACAGTGAACTGCATTCAAGCAACAACAAAATGGAGAACACTGCAAAACCAGACACTCCTCTGGAGTTACCCTGTAGTGATTCTAAAATTATCGCTCAAGATTCAGATGTTCTCATCAGAGCTTCAGAGCAACAGATAGGAAGTTCTGATTCTCCCAGTGGAATTTTAATGAATCAGATAGAAGATACCATAGCCAACCAAAATGGAATTTGTTCCTGGAGTGAGAAGTCTAAAGGAAAAGCTTGTTCTGAAAACGAAGGGTCAAACACATGTTCTTTGGATTGGCAGCAGCATTTTGATGAAGCCCTGGGAAGAATGGTTTATATTAACAAAGTCACTGGACTTAGCACATTCATTGCTCCTGCTAAGGACATTCAGACTGCTTGTACTAAAGACCTGACAACTGTAGCTGTGGATGTCATACTTGGGAATGGTAAGTAGTGTTCACTGGCATGAAGTACTTTTGAAGATGGGAATAATGGCCAGGAGTAAGGGAATTGTCCAAAGAGATGATCTCAGCAGACAGAGCTCTCGAAGACTGATTATAAAACGTGTTTTATGGTATACGAAAATTCTCCAACACTAAATACAGAAATACAATGAAGGGTTCACCTAGGCTATAAGTGTATGTATACACATCTATGAGTGTGTGTAAGTGTAAGAGGAAGGGCAAAACAGCCCATTTTAATGAAAATGGTACTATTTAATAGCCTAGAAGATCCACAGTGCTTCCCTATCCCATTTCCCCCCTTCCCATAACTCCTCTAGAAACTTTTCTTTAAAGAAATGAAAGTTTCTCTCTGTGGCTTCCAGGCTAAGGGTAGAATGATTTTGTAATCATCCTCCATTTTCCAATAAAACCTATGGCTCAGTGCAGTACTATTTTGTGAACTTTTCCCCCCAGAAATTAGCACTTAACCATAAATTTTCAAAATATAGGCTGAATATATACTGTCATAACCATACTTTTCGAGTGTACTTTATTATAATGCATATGGTAATCCACTTGATCTGTTTTTGGTATAAGAAGATGTTATTCTGAGCATAATAATGTGACTTTTAGATCTTTATGAGGTTACATTAGAGCCTGGACTAGAGCTCTAGGTTCTCAGGTCTCAGTCAACAAAGTGACATTGTTTTGGCAATGTGTTGAGAGCCAGATGTTGGAGATGGTAAACCTGCTTTCTGTCTGACTATACTCTTGGCTTTGCACTAGGAGGATTAAGTGTTAAATGTGCATCTGTATTATGAGTCTTGAATGCTGCAAAAGAATGGATATTATATGAATGTAATTGGAAATTAGCTTATAATTTTTCTTTATGATGATTATATCAAGCAGGGGCCTCTGGCTTTATATAAGTTAAATAAGACCTTTATTTTTCCTTGTTTTACAGTTTTTTCCTTGCGAAAAAAGATAACTTTGGGTAGTTTCAAAGTATTCAATAAGAGGAGAAAATGTTTCTCTTTCAGTATTGTTCCGAAGACTATCAAGTTGCTCTTAAGGCAATTTTATGTAGTTTTCAATCTAGATCATTTTAGACCTGATTTTCACAGAATGCTTATCAGAAGTAAATTTAAGGCACCAACACCTCATCTTCCTGAAATGCAACTGCTTCTGATATGGTGCCAAGAGATAGCTGGGTTACATTCAACTGCAGATGATTATTGCCAAAACAAAAGGGAAAGTCTTAGCTGCCATACTCAACATAAACATTTGCTCCTGCTAATTAAATCTAGATGTTTAAACACTTCAATCCACTTAACTTTTTGGAATAGTTTATCTTTTAACGAACTCTTTGAAGGTCATGTTAACTGATAGTTTCCTAATGAAGAATATCTTTGTATAGAAACAAGTTCATAACAAGATGATTCCTCAGCATCCTCCACTCACGTGGAATGTTACCTTTCTGGAAATAGTTTGTGCACAGTGGTGCATTAGGACATGGTTAAACCAAAAATAAAAATGTTACATGAGATAATTTCTGTTGAACTGGGGATTGAACCCAGGAGCCCTCAACCATTGAGCCCATATCCCCAGACCTTTTTTATATTCTATTTAGAGACAGGGTTTCACCAAATTGCTGAGGCTGGCTTTGAACTTTGATTCTTCTGCCTTTGCCTCCTGAATCTCTGAGATTACAGGCATGTACCACCATGCCCACAAGAAATTATTAAGAGGTAAATTTTATTGTGTAGAAGAGAGGATACTTTATAAAGGTAATTTTTTTTGGGGGGGGAACCATGTGTTGAACTCAGAGATCTTAATCACTGAGCTACATCCCCAGCGCTTTTTATTTTTTATTTTGAGACAGGGTCTTGCTACTTTGCTTAGGGCCTTGCTAAATTGCATTGGCTGTCTTTAAATTTCTGACCCTCCACCCTCAGCCTCCTTAATTGCTGGGATTATAGGTGTGTGGCCACCATACCTGGCAACATTGTAGGATAATTAGCAACATTCCTGGCCTTCATCCGCTAGATGCCAGAAGCACCCTTCACTCAAGTTGTGACAATGAAAAAATGTCTCAGACATTGCTGAGTACCCCCACCCTATGCAAAATTGTCTCCCATTGAGAATCACTGTGACCTTAGTGTCTTCACTCTGTTTGGTATAGATGAATAATTGGACTAAACATTAATGTGGATGCCTAAATTAGCAGATTAATTTCATTAAGGAACTTCTGATTCTCAAGCTAGTGTTTACTAGTCTGCTTTATGTCTTCATTCAGTTTGTAGAGAAAGAAATTTATGTGATTTAATTTTTAATAGTTTATTTGTATGTTGAGTTTAAATTTCTAGGTTTTTCTTTTTGATATTTAGGGTCTCAGTACAGATGTCATCCTTTTAGAAGCGACCTTGTTCTTCCTTTCCTTCCAAGAGCTCGGGAAGAGAGGACTGTGCTGAGGCAGAATAACAGAGGTGGGGACACTACATTTCTGGGACACCTCTTATACACCTACTACCTAATGCAAAAAACAAAGCAGGGTTGCATTATTAAGCCTGATCAGTGCCAGCTGTGTCTTACTGGAACCAGGAACTCCCTGCAGCCCTATTTAACAGCAAAACTAAGTAATTCAGTGTATGCATTTAGATCAGAAATTACTTTTCCAGACTTGAGGTCAGTACTGGGTGATTATGCATAGTCTGTGGTGTCTTGTGATTGAGGAAATGTTTGTTATTTTAAAAGATTGGAGTTGCACTCCAAGTTATAGTAGTTTGATCTAAGCAAAACTTTTTGGAAAAAGTTACAGACATTTTTGTTTGTTTGTTTGTTTGTTTCTAAAAATAAAAAGTATATTTTTACCTAAAGGCAGTGAGGCTACTATTTTGAACCATAGTTTCTTCTGGACTTGTATTCTGAAATCTTGCTAACAGTTTGGAAAAAATCTATAATGTCAGAAGTTATAGTCACAACCCTAGTTTTAAAAGTAACATACCAAACAACTTAGAGATATAGTGTAGCAAACTCTGAACGTTTGTAGAATATTGGAATATTATGTCTGATCCTTAGTCTTGAGGCTGCAAMCAAACAGGATAGACTATTCATTCTTTTTTCCTGAGCTTCATGATGCCAGCTTCRTCTGTCTCCTTTGTCTTAGATGCTGTGGATGATGCTGTTGGTAGTGAATCCCTTCAGTCTTTGTTTTCAGAATGGGACAATCCAGTGTTTGCCCGTTACCCAGAGGTAGGTCTGTAGCAATTTTTATTTGCCTGTTATTTTAATTTGAATTTCATTTAAGCTGGGTATGGGCATGAATAGCTATACTAATTTGTAATTATGAATGGAAACTAGGCATGTTTGCAAATGATTTATTTGGAAATTAATTTTTAACGTAGAGAGGAGGAATCATCATTTTGGAAGCTCAGGCAATTTGAATTAAATGTGTATAATCAGTGTACATCAAGTGAATGCATTTACCCTGACCTACAGCTTTAGTAAAATATTCAGAGTGATGATAATAAAAGCATCATTAGATAAAGCAGTGAATCTTCTATTGGACAACAGTTCATTGTTGGACCTGGGTACATGTTCTGTTCTCACTGCATTATCACAGAATGTTCTATGTGTGTTAATGAGGGTGTATAATAGGTGAACATTTGACTACTGATTCTTCAGTTAAGCTATCTTTAAGGACTTGATCATGGAGCATAGACAAAGTGTTCTGAAACAATATTGGTTTTTGTCAGTTATTTTGTTTATGAACAAAAAAATGTTATGGGAAAATTGGGGAATGAAATTGACCAAATTATATTGTTATATCATGTGATTTAAAATGTGATGGTGAATTCCATTATTGTGTATACTTATAATGCACCAATAAAAATTGTTAGTTAAGACTAATTCTTGGGACATTTTTAATCTATAAATTCCCTGAGTTCAACCCACCTTTTTTAGATTATTTGAAAATGAATGCTTTTAAAGGATTTTGAAATCTGGTAAAACAGACATAAAAAAATCAAATTTATGTCTGTAGATATAAAAAATTAAAATTTAAATAATGGTTTTGATGTCTCCCTAGGTTGCTGTTGATGTAAGCAGTGGCCAAGCTGAGAGCTTAGCAGTTAAAATTCACAACATCTTATATCCCTATCGTTTCACCAAAGAAATGATTCATTCAATGCAGGTAAAAATTGACTTTGTAATAAAACTACACTAGCTCTTGTGAAATTGGAATAATTTAATAATTGAGACCACATTTGCCAAAGCACTTGGGGCTTATTTTGTTTGTTAATTTTTATTTGTTTTTTGTTCTGGGGCTTTTACCCAAGGGTGCTTAGCCACTGAGCCATATCCCCCAGCTCTTTTAATTTTTTAAATTTTGAGACAGGGTCCCTCTAAGTTGCTTAAGACCTTATTAAATTACTAAGGCTAGCTTCGAACTTGCAATCCTGTTGCCTTAGCCTCCTGGAGTCTGGAGATTACAGGTGTGCATTACCACACCCAGCTGTTTAAGTTTTATTGTACCTTTTATCATCAGAAGTAAAAGTAAGGGATTAATTATAATTTCAAAGAAAGAAATGTCCTTAATAGTGTAAACAGGTTTGAAGGTAATGAATTGTAGATTCAGGCTTACAGTTTCAAGGAATATTAACACATTTCTATAGAGAATTATATGTAGATTTTGTGTGTGTGTGTATCTGTATTTTAGGAAGGGTAACTGGGGATTGAACCAAAAGGTACTTTATCACTGAACTAAGTCCTCATCAGTCCCCCCCACCCCACTCTTTTATTAAGACTGGATCTCACTAAATTGCTTAGGGCCTCACTAAATTGCTGATGCTGGCCTTTAACTTGGGATCCTTCTGCCTCAGCCTCCCAAGTCATGCAACACTGGGCCTGGCTTGATTTTTATATTAATTGATAGGTCAACAAATATCAATAAATAATTTGTAAATCATTACTGTCCTTAACTGGGCAATAATGCATTTTTTAAAAAATGACCCTCTATTGTGTGGGGCTACAAAGACTTAGGGAACCCCAGACTGATGAGTTCCATTAACCAAAGGGACCCCTTGTGTCATCTGCTTTTCTGTTTTGCTCTCTATGGCTCTCTCAGCCTCCTTGATTTCCAGTTTGGAAACAAATTAGGAAACCAGATAGAAGTAGGGGAACTCCCAAGGTGGCATTGACCTGGTATTGAAGCAAGGGAGCAGTTGGTTATGAAACAGACCCTGGACAGTGGATAGGCTAAGGGATTTTGGCGGGGGGTGCCTCAGATATCTGGACAGAGAGGAGCCATCAAGGTCTGAAGCTATCAGGGGCTTTTTACTGTTTTAATAAAGTAACTCTTCCAGAATGGTTTTTCTTGCTTTCACATAAACTTTAAAAAGTTATTTTAGTTCTATTTGTTAGCAATCTGTGGTTATATTAATAATACTCTGGTCATATTACTTATTACTAAGAATCACTCTGTTAGGAAATTTTCTCATCTACTCTAAAGAGTTATTAGTCTGTTTCTCTTACATGCTTTTTTTTTTTTTTTTTTGTCTTCCTTTGTGGTCTCCCTCTTTTCATATCTTATGATCACTCTACTTGCCCATTCTCTCTCTCTCCTGGTACTGGGGATGGAACCCAGGGTTGTGCAAATGCTAAGCTAGCTCTGTACCATCGAGCTACATCCCCAGCCTAATTTGTTCATATTTTTTACCTTTCTTAAGGATTCCCTCAGGTTTGGCAGCACCTTATCTCAGTCTTAGATATGAATGTTATAATGTAAACTACTCTAAAATACAGTTTTGTGTCCTACGTAGATGAGCCTTTGTTAATTTTTATTTAGCATTGTACCATTTCTTTGAATGTATGGCAGGTTCTTCAGCAAGTGGATAACAAGTTTATTGCCTGTTTAATGAGCACTAAGACTGAAGAGAATGGCAAAGCAGGTAAGAATGGAGGTTAGCCTCAAATAATAAGCCAACTAGTTTTCTGATAACTTCTTTTTTTTCACATTACTTTATTAGGTGATAACTTCTTTTAAGGTAATTTTTAGTATACAATGCAATTTCAATGATTTGGATAGATAGAGAAAAACCCTCTAAATTAAGAATATTATGAGGGGCTGGGGATGTGGCTCAAGCAGTGGCACGCTCAACTGGCATGCGTGTGGCCTTGGTTCGATCCTCAGCATCACATACAAAAAACAAGGATGTTGTGTCCACCGAAGACTAAAAAATAAATATTAAAAAATACTCTCTCTCTTTAAAAAAAAAATTAAAAAAAGAATATTATGAAATAGCAGTTTTAAATACATTTAGTTTTATGTACATACACATGTATCATAAATAAGACACAGATTAAACTATTAATAGTAGCTGCCTCGAGAGTAAAAATGGGGGTGGGCAAAGAGGGAAATTTAATCTTTTACTCTAAAATATTTTATATTGTTAACTTTTTCATAATATTTTTATATTTTCCCTCTATAATAATAGAAAGCTTATATAATAAACCCTGTTAGGTTTATCAAGAGTTATTCAGAATCACTTGATGACCTGATTTAATGAAAAAATAATAGTTCATACAGAACTTTAGCTTATACAGCATATACTAAATGCCTGCCCCAGGCCCTAGGGATACAATGATTGGGAAACCTAAGTATGAGGAGTAACAATTACACAAACACATGTAGTTCTTGTTATGAAGAAGAAATAGAAGATGCTGTAAGAACCTGTTAGGGAGGTCAGAGAAATGTTCTCGGTGAAATAAGGTCTGAAATATGAGTTTGAGTTAACTAGGTTTAGAAGATGGGGAATAATGTACACAAGTTGTGATTCCTTCCTGTTTAGCAGGAGCGGCTGGAGATGAGGCTCAGAGAAGTAGCTAGGAACCAGATAGTCAATGCCAGTTACTAGCTTTAATTTGTCCCGACACTGATTGGAATGATTTGAAAGGTGATTGGTTTTTTTAATTATTTGTTTTTTGATGTTGATTTGGGGGCAGTTTGTGGCACATCATATTGCATTTTGAAAAGATTGTTCTGGGTTTTTAGAGTGAAGAGTGGATTTTGAATTCCAATAACTCCAAGAAGAATACAAGGAGGACATTGCAATATCTAAGGAATGGTGGTAGCTGGGACCAGGGTGGGCTAGGGAGAAATGAATGCATTGGGAAAATGTTTAGGAATCAACAGGGCTTGGTGATGGATTTCTAGTTTTCTGGCCTACATAGCTAAGTGGACAATGTCACAAAACCAAGTTGGAGATGTAGCAGGCTTGTAGGGGGACAATGTGGTATAAAAATCATGAGTTAATCTAACTTCTCTTTGAAATATTCCGGATGAGATGTCAAGAATGTTTCTGTATTACAGGTGTTACATTAGAGATGTGCTCTGACCTGACGATATTAATTTGAGTTGTCAGCATAAAGCTTATCATTGAAATCCTGGATGCAAACTTTATCTCCTAGAAAAAGAGTAGTGAGTGAGGAGAGGTCCTGAATCTAGAATGATTCCAACATTTAACAGCTAAGTAGAAAAGTGTGAACCAGCGAAAGAGATTGTCAACAAACAGCAAGTAAAATAGTGAGAAAACAGAAAGTTATGTTGCAAAGCCAAGACTTTGTGCCAAATACTGCTAAGATGTTTAATAAGATGAGGATGTTTAGTAAGAAGACTGATTTTGTGACAGTGATCAGCAAATGAGAGCTTTTAAGAGGAAAGGGAAAATGCTGATGGTACTAATGGAGACTGAGGGAGAGACTCAATCTGTGATTTGGAAGTGAGAGACCAAGGAGGGTGAGGGTATGGGTGAGACAAGACTTTTTTTTTTTTTTTTTTTTGGTACCAGGGATTGAACTCAGGGGCACTCGACCACTGAGCCACATCCCCAGCCATATTTTGTATTTTATTTAGAGACAGGGTCTCACTGAGTTGCTTAGCGCCTCACCATTGCTGAGGCTGGCTTTGAACTCGCGATTCTCCTGTCTCAGGCTCCCAAGCTGCTAGAATTACAGCAAGACAAGACTTTTTTAAAAAAAATATTTATTATTTTTTAGCTTAGTTAGACACATTATCTTTATTTCATTATTATGTGGTGCTGAGGATTGAACCCAGGGCCTCACATGTGCTAGGCGATCGCTCTACCGATGAGCCACAATCCCAGCCTCTAAGACAAGACTTTTTAATGAAAGAATCTTAAGTGTAATTACGGTAGTCACCCCCCCTTTTAAAATATTTGTTTTAGTTGTTGATAGACCTTTATTTTATTTATTTATATGTGGTGCTGAGAATCGAACCCAGTGCCTCACACATGCCAGGCAAGTGTGCTACCACTGAGCCCCATTTCAGTAGTCACCCCTTTTCTGTGGTTTCACTTTCTGCAATTTCAGTTACCCACAGTCAACCAAGGTCAGAATATATTAAGTGGAAAATTCTGGAAATAAACCATTTATAAGTTTTAAATTTCATACTACTTTGCATCTTCTTCTATCCCACCCAGGATGTGAATTGTCTCTTTGTCCAGTGTATCCACAATGTGTATACTACCTGCCTATTAGTTGCTTGGTAGCAGTTTCCATTATCAGATTGACTGTGATGGTATCACAGTGCTTATGTTCAAGTAATCTTTATTTTATTTGATAATGGCTCCATAGTGCAAGAGTAGGGATGCTGGCAATTTTATTATAATATATTGTTATAACTGTTCTATTTTATTATTAGTTATTATCGTTAATCTCTTATTGTGCCTAATTTACAAATTAAACTTTCTCAGAGGCTTATATGTATGGAAAAAATCATAGTACCTACAGGATTTGGTAAAATCTGCAATTCCAAGCATCCACTGGGAGTCTTGAAACATGTACTTTGTGGGCAGGAGAAGACTGGTATAAGGAATGTTAAGTAGTGCAAGGTTCCCAAAAAGACCCGAGTGGCAGATAACCCTGAGTAGCAGTGGAGGATTGGCTCTAGATTTGTAGACTTACGAGTAAGTGCCTCTAAAGTTTGAGAGCATTTAATTCTCTTTGTGTAAGTGTGGTATACATACATAATGGAAAGAGAATAAAATTATGGCATTTGCAGGTAAATGGATACAATTGGAGAATATCATGTTAAGCAAAGTAAACCAATTCCAAAAAACCAAAGGCCAAATGTTTTCTCTGAATGGGGGATGCTGATCCATAATGGGGTGGGAGGCGGCATGGGAAGAATGGAGGAACTTTGGATTGAGCAAAGGGAGGGTGGCGAGGGGAGAGGGTATGTGGGGGAGAGGGTATGGGGCAGGAAAGATTGTGGAATGAGATGGATATCATTACCCTATGTACATGTATGATTGCACAAATGGTGCGACTTTACATCATATATAGAGAGTTGAAAAGTTGTGCTCCATTTGTGTACAGTGAATTGAAATACATTCTGTTGCATATATAACTAAGTAGAATAAATTTAAAAAATTCTCTTTTACCTTGTTTAGTATATGTCAGAGGTCATAGATCAAAGGCAGATTAACCTAAAGTTCTATCAAAATTATCATGAATTATAGTATAGTTTTACCATACCTAGAAAATTAATAGATTTTTCTCCTTTTTTTTTTTTTTTTTTTTTTGGAGTGGTACTGTGGATTTAACTCAAGGGCACTCTACCACTGAGCTATACCCCCACTTTTTTTTTTTTTTTTTTCTAATTTTGAGACTGGGTCACACTAAGTTGATTAGACTGGCCTTGAAACTACAGTCTTCCTGCCTTAGCTTCCAGAGACACTGGGATTTTAAGCATGCGCCACTGTGCCTGCTCATGCATGCTAGGCAAGTACTCTACCACTGAGCTATGTCTCCAGCCCTCTTTTTAGGGCCACCTTTTTTTTTTTTTTTTTTTTTTTTTTGTGGGTGTGTGTGGTGCTAGGTATTGAACCCAGGGCCTTGTGCCTGTCAGACAAACACTGTACCAACTAAGCCGTGTCTCCAGCCCCATTCAGCCCCTTTTTCAAATTTTATTTTGAGACAGGGTCTCCCTGAATTGCTGCAGCAGGCCTTGAACTTTTCAATGCTCCTGCCTCAGCCTTGAAAGTAGCTGGGATTACAGGCATGCACCACTGACTTCTTTGTTGCAGGTACCAAGGGCGTTATAGATGGTACTCAAGATGGGTGTAACCACAAAATCTTCAGATGTTCAAAGAAGCAAAAGGAACTATTGAAATTTCTCTTAAGAGTCTATATTAATATTGTTAGATACTACCAGAGTATCTCTTGTAAAAGGGTAAATATTTATATGCTCTTAAAAGAAACCAGAGTACAAGAATGCTCTTAGATAAATACATTTTTCTAAATCAAGATGCAAGTATTTTTTCATAAACACCAAATGCAACCTATTCCTTGATTTAATTTTGATATTTTCATATTTTTAATGGATAAATTGACAGTGTGTTCACCGAGTGGTGAAATACCAGGAAAGTCTTTACTCCTGTGCTCAATTATTCTTTTAAATTATAATGAAACAAATTCCAGGTTTGGCATTTTATGATGCATGTTTTTGCTTACAATAAAATATAGTTGTTGACTTATAACACCCTAAAGAATAAGGATTCAGGGACTGGGGCTGTGGCTCAGAGGTAAAGCGCTCATCTACCATGTGTGAGGCACCGGGTTCTATCCTCAGCACCACATAAAAAAAAAAAAAATAATAAAGATATTGTGTCCACCTATAACTAAAAAATAAATATTAAAAAAGAATAAGAGGGGGCTGGGGATGTGGCTCAAGCGGTAGCGCGCTCGCCTGGCATGCATGCGGCCTGGGTTCGATCCTCAGCACCACATACAAACAAAGATGTTGTGTCCGCTGAAAAAATGAAAAATAAATTWAAAAAAAAAGAATAAGAATTCATTCATTTATTCTATAAATGTTTATTGAGTACCTACAATGTGCCAGGTGCTGTTTTATGTGCTGAGAATATAATAGATAAAAATCTCTGTTCTCTTGAAGCTTCCATCCTGTTGGGTTGGAATATCAAAAATGTAGCTTCCATCATGAGTAATTATCTTCTACATTCTGCTTCATTCAAGAAATGGAAGACATCAAGAACACTATGTAGGGGCTGGGGTTGTGGCTTAGTGGTAGAACACTCGCCTAGCATGTGCAGGGTGCTTGGTTTGATCCTCAGCACCACATAAAAATAAAAATAAAGGTATTGTGTCCAACTATAACTAAAACAAAACTTTTTTTGAGAAGAAAAACTATTTCTCTAGTCAGGTGGTGGCTGGGTTGCAGAGGGTATTGGTTATTCACATTGGGTTCAGTTCCAACTTTGAGGTTACTCCTTCACAGTTTAAGATTTATTCCATCGTTTTGCTCAAAACAGGATATTCAGTATTCATCAAAACCGGCTGGTGTTCTTCCTATCCTCAAAGGAGTTTAAAATTCAATATTTTAGAGGTTGTTCTTGTGGTTGAACATGCTGTCGGAAAATGTAAAAAAAAATTTTTCTTTTTTTTCTTCTTTTAATCTTAAGTTCCTGTGCCATGGATTTGATAGCGCCATAGAAATTATTTTAATCTCTTGTAGAAATAGGAAAAATAGACACTAATTACTTTGATTAAATGCATAAATCTCCACCTGTTGGCCCAAAATAGCAAATTGCAAGCTAAAAAATGAGAGCCCAAAGACCTGCTCTTCAAAAGTGAGACCTGTAGACAGGATCAGCTGGAAGTTTGTTAAATTGCAGAAGCTTGTGTATCACCACTAACCTAAATCAGAATTTGCATTTCAGTAAGATCCCAGGTAACATGTATGCCTCCAAAGGCATACATGTTCAAGAAGCCTGTTTAAAGCAGCCAGTGGGCAAACCCAGACATTGCCTGTTTTTGAATAGCCAGAGAGATAAGAATGGCTATGTTATGACGTGGTTGAAAAGCAAAAAAAAAGAGAATATTTATTGACACAGTAAAATTATATGGAATTCTTATTTCAGTGTCCTTAAACATAGTTTTACAGGAATACAGCTATTATATTCACATTTTGTCTGTGACGACTTCTACTTAAACTGAAGAATAGCCATGACAGATATCATTTGACCCCAAAAGCTTAAAATATTTCCTCTCTGCCCCTTCATAGGAAAAAAAAAAATTCTAAAGTGTACAAGAAATACATTCTTCATGAGTTGCTGATTATAATAATGTCTTAATGACTCTTCTTTGTATTAAGGTTGAATATATAAAGCAAAATTTATATTTAAACATTAGGAAATGTAGAACTTTAACTTTGTTTTATAAATGAAATACTGACGAACTAAAGAGTTTTTTTTTTTTTTTAAATCAGGGATAAATTTATTGTTCTCCCCACAATTTCTCTTTTTTAGGAAATAAAAGGTACCATTGTTGTCACTTAGTATACTCTCATGCTTATATTGGTAAATAAGTTGAATGAAACTTTTTCTTCCCCTCCCTCAACATAATGATTATTTTACTCTTGATCTGAGAATTGGAACCTCCAGTTATCCTTATTGATCTTGTAGGTGGAAACCTGCTAATCTTGGTGGACCAGCACGCTGCCCATGAGCGCATCCGTTTGGAGCAGCTTATTACCAGTAAGGATCTCTCTGCAACTAGAAAAGATTTGAGATACCCCAGCAGAATTAGTATAGCTGAAAGTTTTTCTCAGTGGAACTGTTGTGAGGAAACATGCATTGTATGTTAGAAAAATGAAGCTGAAGTCCTTCACTTTGRTCTTTTTTATAACTGGAATGTAATAGTTTAGTTTATTAATACTTACTTGGTCAAAGGCATATTTGCTATATGTTATTGTCCACCCAGCGGTACCTAAGGTCTGGGCTAATTTTGAGGGGGGTTGAACCCAGGGGGACTTTACTACTGAACTACATTTCCRGCCCTTTTTATTTTTTATTTTGAGACAGAGTCCTTTAAGTTGCAGAGGCTTGCTTGAACTTGTGATCCTCCTGCCTCAGCCTCTTGACCTGCTGGAGTTATATGTCTCTAGGCTAATTTATTATGGCATTCAGCACCAAGATATGCCTCTTTTCCCACATGATCTTGGTATACCTTCAAGTTCAGCAGGCAGAGAACAGAAGCTCAGAAGGCCAAATATATTGTTTTTATTTTAAAATAAAATTTGTTATTTAATAGTTTAACCAAATTCAATTATAAAGGCATAAGAAGAAATATAATGTTTCCTTTATACCCTTGTCCCCATCCTAGTTCATTTCTCTTCCCCACAGGCAACCAAATATTAATAATTAATAATAAAATAATGTGTGTTTTTCCAAAGTCAACATATGCTTTTTAATTTTTGCTACATGTTTGTCTTCATGAGGCAGCATGTTCAACCAGGTGGTAAAATACCAGCAAAATCTTTACTCCTGTGGTCAAGTAATGAAAAACCTTAATATCAAAGAATTAGTGAAGAATCTAGGGAACTGTTTCATAGGCTAGACTGGCAATGGTATTACCACTATTTTCACTTTTTCTTATAAAGTATTGGGAAAGATAAAATAAAAACCATATTAGAAAAACTTTTGCCATTTGAGAAGAAAGCTGATGGATTCTCTTCAGAGACTGGGAAACCCTTCTGGTGCACAGAAGAGCCTTCTTGAGCTATAGGATGGCAAACCCATATATTTGCCCAGGAATCTACATTATGCAGCTCTGTTATTTAAATCACATTTACTGCCAGGTGTAGTGAAGCACCTATAATGCCAATGACTCATTAGGCTGAGGCAGGGGGGATCGAAAATTTGAGGACAGCCTCAGTAATTTAGTGAGGCTCTTAGCAATTTAGAGAGACCCTGATTCAAAAACTAAAAAGGATTAGGGATGTAGCTCTGTGGTAAAGTGCCCCTGAGATCAATTCCTAGGAACAAAAACAAAAAACACCCTCACATATATCATCTACAGGAACATTGAATTGTTTGTTTGAATGTGAAAATTAAATCTTATACTCCTTATTTTTGGAAAATACTACTCAAATGAGTAAACTGACTGTATATTTCCTAGTTTTACTTTAATAATGGAAATCCAAAGTCCCAAACTGAACATTGTAAACATATTACTAAGGACTAGAGCACTTATGTCATGGCTGTACCTTACCATGCTTCATTTTTATCTAAACATAGATTTCCCTTCTTACTCTTAATCCATTTATTTTTCTTCTAATAGATTCCTATGAGAAGCAACAACCACATGGCTGTGGTCGAAAAAAATTACTATCTTCCACTATAATTCCTCCACTAGAGATAACAGTGACAGAGGCACAAAGGAGACTCCTATGGTTAGTATCACCATGAAGATGTGTTGTTGATAATATAAATTCTCACAGTAATTCTGTGAGGTATTAAACATGACTATTGTACCATGTTCAGAAGAGGAAACTGAGACCAAGAGAAGTTCACATGATGGCTTGTCCACGGTCATAACGATTATAAAGTGGCAGAGCAAGCACTCCATGGCAGTTCTGACTCCAGATGCCGTTCTTTCCACTGTGTCACAGCTGTTGAGTATAGGATAGAGTTGCCCTCGTAATTTTTTCCAGGAGTTGGCTTAGAACAGTGTTTGTGCTCTGCTGTTTCTGAAGGCAAAGTAAGTGCAGTAATTGCTTCCATTCTGCTTTGTCTTGATTCATTCTAGATTTTTCATTACCATAATCATATTAGGAAGAAAGTAAAACACTGAGATGCAAGAAGGGACAAATCATATAGTTAGTCACAAGATAGGACATTTTTCCCCCCTTTTGGACAGCACAAGTTGTTAAAAATGAAAAATATGATTGTCTATCAATTTAGTTCAAGTTTGGGAATCTGGTGCTGCCAATACATCTTTCTCCTTGGGCTTAATTTATACTCGAGGCAGATTCCTTTATTTATGTCCCCTGTTAATCAGGACTTGTCATTTCCTGGCTGTTAATTACCCCCCTGCTTTAATGCTGATTCAGAGCATTTTCAGACCTTATCTTGTGCCTTCAACAAGAAGTTAGCACTGTTCCCCAGTGAAGAATAAAAACTTAGGAACAAGATTTTGAGACAAATTGATTATCTTAGTGTCAAGGATATGTTCTAGGACCCCCAGTGGATTCTTGAAAACATGGATAGTACTGAACCTGCATATATTGTTTTTCCTATGTGCCCCAAAGCATGGCCATATATGTCAGAGTTAATCTATCTTTCCATATTTCATGCTCTAGTGTCTCCTTTGTTTGTATCACGACTATTGTGTTTTGGGGTCATTATTAAGTAAACTAGGGGCCACTTGGAACCAATAACAAAATCCCGAGACAGTTAATCTGATAACTGAGATGGCTGCTAAATGACTGTCAGGTGCGTGGTGCATACAGCACATGGATGTGTGGGACACAAGGATGATTTTGTGGGACAGCATGAGATCTTCCTATGCTACTGAGAATGGCATGCAGTTTAAAACTTGTGCTGGGAAGGTAGTCAGTGGTACAGCACATGCTTAGCATGTGAAAAGCCCTAGGTGCAGCCCCCAGCACCTAAAAATTTTTTAAATTATTTACTTTTTGAATTTTCCATTTAATATTTTTGTATCATGGCTGCCCACAAGAAACTGAAATCTTGGAAAGTGGAAATGTGGATAAGAAGGGAACTACTGTAGTTCAAATAGGAAATTTGAGAATAAAATCCCAAACAAACATATAAGTATGGGGGAAACAATACAGCTTTTAAAGCTTATGGCAATTTTTTTTAATATTTATTTATTTTTTAAATTTTTTCGGTGGACACAACATCTTTGTTTGTATGTGGTGTTGAGGATCGAACCCGGGCCACACGCATGCCAGGCGAGCGCGATACCGCTTGAGCCACATCCCCAGCCCGCTTATGGCAATTTTTAAGAAACTATCAGGTACTTGGAACTAGAACTGAAATGTCAGTGAAGTAAAACGTTTACATTTGAGGCTATTTCTTTAGGTATTACCACAAAAATCTGGAAGATCTGGGCCTTGAATTTATCTTTCCAGACACTAGTAATTCTCTGGTCCTTGTGGGAAAAGTACCACTCTGTTTTGTGGAAAGAGAAGCCAATGAACTTCGAAGAGGAAGATCTACTGTGACCAAGAGTATTGTGGAGGTGAGACAGCTTCCATTGTTGAGGAGACTGCTGAGTGAAACCTCAGATTTTGTGGAGAATCTCTATATTTTTCGGTATTTTAACATGCATTTACTGAGCTTGCTAGCAGTTTGCAAGGTGCTAGAAATTCAAAGGTGCATTGGCTCAAAGTGAGGAGGAAGATTTAGATAATTATAGTACAATGAAATTTGGCTAGTAGAGATTTGTTCAAAAAGTGTTATGGAAGTACAAAATGATTACTGTGCCCAGGGAGGGGAAGTGAAGGAAATTGCCACAAAAAGTCTGTTTTGTTTTCTTTCCTCCCTCTTTCTTCCTTTCTTCTTTCCTTCCTTTTCTTTCTTTCTGTTTTTTTTTTTAAACAATGGATTGAATCCAGAGGTGCTTAACCATTGAGCCACATCTCTAGCCCTTTGTTGTTTTTTATTTGAGACAGAGACTCGCTAAGTTACTTAGGGCCTTGCTGAATTGCTGAGGCTGACCTCAAACTTGTGATCCTCCTGCTTCAGCCTTCTGAGTCACTGGAATTATAGGTATTTGCTACCACACCTGGCAAAATACAGTTTTCTTAAGAAAGGTTTTGTAGAAAGGTAGAATCTTCCAGATACAGAAGAGGAGAGAAAAGCATTCTTGACAGAGAACCAATGTCAGAGACTTAAAACAGATCTATATGGGGGGAACTATTAACAGATATAGCTCCAATTAAGATATATATGGGGGAGTGTTAGGAGTAGGTGAAGGTAGGTAGGTTACCAAGATGAATCATAAAGGAATTTAGCTTTTTATATGGGTACTTGTGTTTCATCCTCTGGTCAGCCGATGAGGAATTTTAAGCAGTAGAGTTAAATACATTTGAACCAGGCACAGTGGCACACATCTTTAATGCCTGCTGCTTGTGAAGCTGAGGCACCAGGATCACGAGTTCAAGGCCAGCTTGAGCAATTTAGCAAGACTCTTTCAAAATAAAAAGGGCCAGGAATGTAGCTCAGTAATAGAGCACTTGCATAATGTGTGTGAGACCTTTCCAGTACTGCAGAGGAAAAAAAAAAAGATATATTTGAGGTGGGCATGGTGGCATATACCTGTAATCCTAGTGGCATGGGAGGTTTAGACAAGAGGATTGTGAATTCAAAGCCAGCCTCAGCAAAAAGCAAGGTGTTAAGCAACTGAGTGAGACCCTGTCTCTAAATAAATATAAAATAGGACTGAGGATGTAGTTCAGTGGTCAAATGCCCCTGATTTCAATMCCCAGTACCAAAAAAAAGATACATTTGAGATTGTATTTTTAAATATGGTTACTCTATTTATATGTTTTAGCAGAGGTTCAGAAGCCACAGCTGGAATGTGGCCCTGGAGGTGTTAGGAAGGACCATTACTTCTTACTTTATTTCATTTTTTTTACAACAAATATAATTTATTTTGTTTTGTTGCTTCCCCAGCCATCTTGTTTTCTATTATAGCTTTCCCTTTTTTCTCTACTGATTTAGAAGTTAGATACTCCATTCATATCCTTTTAGAGACTAGTCTTGAATTTTTACATGCATAGTTAGCAAAGTTTAAAGGTAATTTTTTTCTCTGTCCTCTTCCTAAACTGTATATAAACATTCCCTTTATCTTCCATCATTCCCTTCTCATCTTCCATGTTTTTGTTTAATATTTTATTTCCACCTTGTTTTTAAGACTTCAATGATCATGAATTCTATAACACTGAAATTAACCAAAATATTTATCAGAGTCTTTGTTTGCTGTTGCCTCCTATATCCTACTTATTCCTTCTGGGTGGTTTTCTTTTTACCAAAATAAATCTTTTAAAAGTTATTTTGTTAAGAATCCATGAATTATAAGCTGTCTTTGAAAATTCCTTATTTTGCTTTCATACTTGCGAGATTGCCTAGCTGAAAACATCACCATTTATCCTTTAATATTTTGGAAATATTCCACTACTTTTGACTTTCTTTTTTTTTTTTGCCGCTGAAGTTCAGTCAGTCTAATTATCACTACTCTGTGGGTAATCTGATTTCCCCCTGGTTGCTTCTTATATTTTCTTTTATATGGTGCTGAGGATGGAATCCAGTTCCTCATGTGTGCTAGGTGAGCACTCTACCACTGAGCCACAACCCCAGCCCCGCTTTTGGATTTTTGTATTTATCTTTGGTGTTCTGCAGTTTCATTATAATGTATTAGTATAGATTTGTTTTCATTTCTTTCTTGAGATTCATCTGCTTCTTCAGTGTGGAAAGTGTACATCATTGTTGCTCTCAGTATTGCTGCTCCGCACCCCTTGCCCCCACTCCTGTAAGAAATCTGCTGGATCTTATCTGTGTAGTCTCCATGTTTCAGACTCTTTCACATTTCCCATTGCTTTATGTGTAGTACATTCTGGGAAATTTCCTTGTATGTCTTCCAGTGAACTAAAGTCTGTCTTCATTTGCTTTTTAATTATGTATTTATACACTGAGTCTTTTTACTTCAACTACTATTTTTTTTATTTCCAGAAGTTTTGTTTGGTTCTTTTTTCAAATCTGCTTGTTATTTTTTCCTTATGATTTTCTATTCCTTTTTCTCTAGCACTTTCTATTTGGAACACAGGCAAATCAATCCATTTGCCTAGTAATCTGAGTGACTTCACTGATCTCTAAAATAAAAAGTAGAAGATAGATTTAGTGGCTAAATTCTGTGATAGGTTGATCTGGAGGAGATCTGAGGCACAGAGAGCCGTTGAGGGGCGATTACACTTGGTCAAATAGGAGAGGATGAGGATTTGACTAAGTCAGCCAGTGGAAAGGAGGGACATATTTGAGAGACCTAATTTGGTAGGTAGAATCAATAAGACCTGGTGATGAAGGAGAAAACATATTACCAGGGATTCCAAGGGTTCTAACCTGAGGACAAAAGGATGGAGGTGTCATTAACAGACACAGGAATAGAGAAGGGAAGCACATCTGGCCAGGAGTTGGATTATGATCTTGGTGTAGACATACTGAATGTGACTTCAGGGGACACCCAGCGGGTGGGCTGACCTACAGAGCTAGCACTTGGAAGAGAAATCTGGGCTGTAGTCAAGAGCTTGTACATTTTGGCAATATCAGAGACTGGAGAAGGGTCTAGAGAAAGGAAGTAATTGTCCAGGGAGAACTGGAAGAGCAAAAAATGGAGAGAGCAAAAGGAACACCAGCATCACAGTGTGTATGTTTGGCAAGGGTCTGGAAAGTGATTGCTGAAAAGAGATAGATGAAAATGATTAAGGAAGGAAGAAATCCAGTAAAAGTAACATTGCCAAAATGAAGAGAAGTTGTAAGCAAGAAGAGACGATAACTGGCTATAAAACAAAGCCTGAGAAGTTGGGTTTAGCTGTCTTGAGGACAGTAGTCATCTTGTAGAATCCCCTCTTGAGAATGAAGTGGGGCAGAAGACAGAATGGGGGACAGGAGTGAACAAAAGGAAAGGAATGAGGCAGGTAGACTATTCTTCCATCAGCTTTGGCTAGACAGACAAAGAGAGATGTGGGACAACTAACCATTAGGGAAGGTCAAGAAGTAGAGGGCAGGACAGAGGGCTGAGAAAGGAGTTTTGTTTAAGATGGGAGAGACACAAGTGTGATTAGGCTACAGGTGAGAGGACGTACAAGAGCAAGAGGCAATTTGTGGACTACCTGGATCCTACCCTTCCCACAGTTGCCTTTTGATCTGGCAAACTTTGCTTTGCTCTCAGCAGACCTCTTTTCTCCACAGAGCTCATTTCCAAATTGTCTTAAATCCAAAAGATAGGATCTGTTAGAATCTTGTATTGTACTTCAATCTCTAAAAATGTAACTGGAAAATTATAATAAAAACTTTTCCTAGACCGACTTCAAAGACTACTTTTACAGAGTTTACTTCAAATTGAAACAAAGCTTACAGTTTCAGATAATCAAGATTTTCTGAAATCTGATCAGACTGATCAAGAGAGATTTTGTTGATTCTGGAAGAAGCTGGAACAGTTTGGTGTTTTGAGGTGGTAACTCTTTGAATCCTAGCAGTTGAAAGAACATTTAATACATCCTTCTATAACACTCTGTATTCCAGTCTGCTGAATGAGCTTTTAAACATTATTTAAATTATACAGCTTTTAAACATTATTTAAATTATACGTTATTTAAATTATACAGCTTTTAAACATTATTTAAATTAACCGTTGAAATGGGAAATAAGCTGAGAATTAGACCCTTCTTCCCCTCATCAGACTTACAAATTGATGTTTTACAGACTCAGATATACATACACAAAAGAGAACAGTAAAGAAATTAGGTTTGATTTCCATCCATACCAAGCTTTGTTAGTAAATGGGTGTTTCATCTTTCTATTTAGGTTTACTTGGGAAAATATGTGGTTCATATATAGTATTTATCATGTGGCTCTTGGTAACAGTGCTCATTTATAAATTTGGTCAACTAGAATATATAGGAAAGAGAGAAGAGAGTGTTCTGAGTTTGATTTAAAAAGAAAATCACCCTGATGTAATCTTAGGAAGATGGTTTTTACATTGCCATTTCCATGAGTAAAGAAATCTAGTTTTCTTATAAAGAAATCATTATATGTGCTGAATCTCCCAACAATTTTCTTTCCTCGAGAGGTTAAACAAATTGGTACCATTAAATAATGCTGGGTTTGAATTTCTTTAAAGTTCTTTTGTAGGGGCTGGGGATGTGGCTCAAGCAGTAGCGCGCTCGCCTGGCATGCGTGCGACCCGGGTTCGATCCTCAGCACCACATACCAACAAAGTTGTTGTGTCTGCCGAGAACTAAAAAAAATAAATATTAAAAAAAATTCTCTCTCTCTCTCTCTYCTCTCTCACTCTCTCTTTAAAAAAATAAAAATAAAATAAAGTTCTTTTGTAGTATGTATGGATACTTAACTGTTGAAAAGGTCACCCCAGGGGCAGAGATATCCAGGAGAGGAGAAACTTCTTTAGAAAAAGAGCTTGTTGACATGAAGGGAATTGTTCCCAAAAAAGACTGCGGGAAGTAAATTTATTTCTGCTTGTAATATCTAAACAAGTGACAGTGCACAATGTGTTGATGATTTTTGTGTATTTATTCTCATCTTGTGTGTAACATTACACTTGTTGTGGCCAAGATTACACATACAAATAGACAGTCTTACAACAAAATAAATCTGTACCTAAGTGCTGTATTGCTGGAACTCTCTTCTTCAGGAGGCATGTCTTAAAGGAGAAAATTGGGATAACCTGTAAATACTGAAGGGCTGGTACAATATAACAGTGGACTAATGCCTGGTTTCCTTTTTTGATTTGTAGGAATTTGTTCAAGAACAAGTGGAGGTAAGCTTTTCTCTCGAGGTTTCACACAGAGTGCCACACATAAAAGGCTTCATTGTCTCATTTCCTTCTCATGTAATAACATAGCTGTGGGCTGGGGATGTGGCTCAAGCGGTAGCGCGCTCGCCTGGCATGCGTGCGGCCCGGGTTCGATCCTTAGCACCACATACAAACAAAGATGTTGTGTCTGCCGAAAACTAAAAATAAATAAATAAATATTAAAAATTCTCTCTCTCTCTCTCTCTCTCTTAAAAAAAAAAATAGCTACTCCAGGCCACAGGAAGCATCCAGGGGACTTTGCCACTGACCGTCCAGAAGGTGTTGGCTTCCCAAGCCTGCCATGGTAAGAGCCTCAACAGCCAGCTGTGGAGTCATCCAGGTGCTGAGCACTGGCCTCAGTGCAGTGACTGAGAAAGAAGCAGATGAATGTTTCTGCTTCTCCCCAGAGAGTATGATTTAGATTTTAAAAAGAAAGAAAAACTGAGTACACAAAAGCAAAGCCTAAAAAATTTTACAAAGTGTGATGCCAACACTGACTGAGGAGTGACTTCTTTTAAATGAATGCATTACAATTATGCATAACAGTGGGATTTGTTGTTACATATTTGCACATGTGCTGGAGGAGTGACTGTTAGAGGAGGCACAAATGGAGCTGAGTTTTGAATGAGCAGAGGGTGATGGATTCCGTTCATCTCCTGGAAGGGGGAGTTTACCACAGGGAGAGGAAGCAGGCTGTGCAAAGAACACCAAGAAAATGGGTTGGTAAGAGAGAGCAGAAGCCTAGGACACAGCAATCCCTTTAGACTTGATACAGAAGGCATTAGAGGCACATTAGAGGGTTCTTCAAAGATAATGAAATGTGGAATGGTATTGGAGATACTTACTTTAGGGATCATGACAGCTACAGAATCTCCTGTGACTATCATTTGACCCTAGTGAAGTCTCCAATCCACTGACCCTTTTATCCCTGTCCATCAGTCTTCTCTCTTCACCTCCTGTGATCCATCATTAATCTACCTCCTATAAATATCCTCCAGTCTTTTGCTCCTTTATCTTATCCTTATTCCTCATAGCTACTCGATAATCAAATATCATTATTGCTATCTTCAAAACGTAACCTAAATCTGTCTCATTTGATCTGACTTCACTGTCCACCCTTCACTCCCTCATTATTGCCCCTATTTGGGGTGGTGTGTACAGGGGACTGAACCCAGAGGCACTCTACCACTGAGCTACTTCCCCAGCTGTTTTTGAGACAGGATTTTGCTAAGTTGCCTAGGCAGGCCTTGAACTTGTCGTCCTCCCTTGTCTCTAGGATCACAGGCATATACCACTTTTCAATGCTCTTGGTTCTCCACATCCAACTCTAGCTCTGCTTCAAGCTATTAATGCCCAGAGGAATCTTTTCAAAGCATCCCTCTAAGTATGCCATTCTTCTAATTAAAATATGATAATGACTACCCATTGCTCTTAGTATAAAAATTTTATTCTTTACTAAGGGTTTTCATAATCTGACCCCTGTCTACCTATTTAGTATCATCTTACATCACTGGGCTCCCCCTTGATCTTTACATTTCAGCCTGTTCCTTTGATTTTGTTCTTCCTGTGTGCTAAACTTCTGTCAGTCTCAGGGTCTTTGCACTTGCCTTTCCTCGGCCTGGAACCTCTTCTGCCCCTTCTTCAATCAGTTGTCTTTCTTAGTCCAAGGTCTCAGTTTAAATATCATTTTGACAAGGCAGCCTTCCCTGACTTCCTAAACTAGATTTGGTCTTCTGTTATATACTTATATTCTATATTTTATAGTACTTAAATTATTGTGTAATTATTAATTTAATGTTCGTCTCATGTATTGACCATAAACGGCCCCAAAGGACTCCTAATGCATGGTATATACTTGTAAATTTTGGGGTAAGGGCGGGGCACCAGGGATTGAACTCCGGGGCATTGGACCACTGAGCCACATCCCCAGCCCTATTTTGTATTTTATTTAGAGACAGGGTCTCATTGAGTTGCTAAGCACCTCATCTTTGCTGAGGCTGGCTTTGAACTCTCAATCCTCCTATTTTAGCATCCCAAGCCACTGGGATTACAGGCATGTACCACCACACCCAGCTTAATAAATATTTTTGACATTGAATTAATATAGGAACAAATGGTGGGTTCTAATAATATGAGGGTTTATATTAGGAAGATTATTACAGAAATTAGAAAAAAGGAACAAATAAAACTGGGCATTGAAAGAAAACAGTCAGAGATGGCTGTTGGATAACCCTGTACACAAGGTAACTTCAACTCCACAAACTCATAAGTAGGCAAAAATACTTCTTTTAGAAAAACCCTGAAAACAAAATCCTAACAAGGTAAGAAATGCCTCCTATAGGAATTAGACAATCACTCCATAAGGAAAAGCTGACAGACAGGTCAGTCAGTCCTGAAGCTGTAAAGTTTCATCCCTGGCGGTTAGTGCCAATTCCAAGCAGTATGAAAGCCACATTAAAGAAGTCTAGGAAATGTTACTTTTTACAGATATTTGGCTCTGACCCAGGGTCAACATTGGTTTCCATGTACACTGTAACCTTCTGGTTTCTTTTTTGTTTAGGGGCCATCAAATTTAATGACAGCCTGAGCCTAGAAGAGAGCTATCGGCTTATTGAAGCTCTGTCATGGTGCCAGCTGCCATTCCAGTGTGCTCACGGGAGACCTTCTATGCTGCCACTAGCTGACCTAGACCACTTGGAGCAGGAGAAACAGGTACACTAATGATTAGGAGGAGCAGGAAGGAGAGTTTGTCTTTATTTTCCAGGTCCTGCTATCCAAGTGCAATCAGTTTTAATCCTTTCCAAAATGTGAGAGCTTGGAAAAACAAGCATTGGAGGTTTCATTTAAAGCCTTGCTCATTTCATCTTCCAGCTCAAATTCAAAATGGAACTTAGACTAAACTGTTAGATTATCTACATGATGGCTTTGTATTTTTAAGCTTAACTTCTATATAGATTTGTGTATCTTGAAATATGTTACCTAATGGCTCTGGGTTTGATAAGATGCAGAGGTTCTTCTTGGAGGTAGAGAAGGTTGGTAGAAATACAGAAAGTTCACTATTGGTAGAATATAGCCGCAACATCCAGTTTCTTGATAATATGTGCTAGAAATGGTGACCTGTGACTGTGGCTAGCCACTTCCAATGATGTCTTTTTTTTTTTTTAAATATTTTTTTTAGATGTATAGACCTTTATTTTATTCATTTACTTATATGTGGTGCTGGGAATCAAACCCAGTGCCTCACACATGCTAGGCAAGCGTTCTACCACTGAGCCACAGCCTCAGCCCCAGCCCCTCCAGTGATGTCTTGAGTTGTGGCTGAGGATCATTATCAGGCTGGGAATGAGGCTTTAGGAGACCTCTACATTGCTGTGACCCTGGCTACCTAGCAGCCATGGAAAATGATGTGGATAATGCAATCAAGGCACAGAGTGGCATAAATTAAGAATATTTTCTATCCCTATTATAATCTTCTTCCCCAGCGCTGGGGATTAAATTCAGAGGAACTGAGCTATATTCCCAGCCCTGTTTTTTAAATTATTGTTTTTATTTTGGACAGAGTCTCAATAAGTTGCCAAAGCTGTCCTGAAACTTATGATCCTCCTGCCTCAGCCCCTGGGATTACAGTTGTGCATCAGGGCACTTAGCTCTATTCTTGTTATAATCTTTTTTTAAATTATTTTTTAATTTTTTTTTAGTTGTTGATGGACACAATACCTTGCTTTGTTTATTTATTTTTATGTGGTGCTGAGGATCAAACCAAGTGCCTTACATGTGCAAGGCAAGTGCTCTACTGCTGAGCCACAACCCCAGCCCCACTTATTTATTTATTTATTTTGGTGCTGAGGATCGAACCCAGGACCTTGTGCATGCAAGGCAAGCATTCTACCAACTGAGCTCTATATCCCCAGCCTCTTATTATAATCTTAAATGAAAAATAGAATATGAGCAAATAGTTATGTCCATGTTGCTGCTTTCCAAAATCTTTTATTTTTCCTGCTAAAGGTTATAATGGCTCTTCTTTTTTCCTGACTCAGCCAGTTGATTTTACTCTTTGTTTCATATAATAAAGAAAAATGAAAAAAAGTTTTGTCCCCATTGGTGAAGAGATAAGAATCTAGATTTGAAGTTTGCAGTCCCAATATCCTATGGAACTCTATAATCTTTGTCCGGAAACTAGAATTCTAAACAGATTTGAAGAACTGTAATTTTCAAATACTTTCATGCTACCAGACTTTTCATATTGCTAATTGGAATTATTCTTTGTTCCACAGGTTAAACCCAATCTTGCTAATCTTCGGAAAAGGGCTGAGGCGTGGCGTCTCTTTGGAAAAGCAAAAGGCTGTGATGCAAGGCAAAGCCTGCAGTCTGTGTCTTCTTGTGAGCCCCCTTGAGAATGGACCTTTGGATCCATGAGGAACCCAAGGGCTTAAAGGATGCTAACTGCCTCTGAGCAGAGAGCATGAGCCGTAGTTAGCAGTGCAGCCGTGGCTGAGTCCCCCTGGTGCCTGGAGAGGACCCTCACATCAGTCCTGTGGTGCAGGTGGGCCCTCTGGCTGAAGAGTCAGATGGAATCAAGCCTAAAAACAGTTCATTGATTTGCATCCAGGCACAGTACTGTTTGTAACTTACTTAAGTGATGAAATTTAATGATTAATTATTTGACTGGTGAGTTAGCTTGTGTTTGAGAGGTATGGTTTTTCTTTTTGTGTAATTTATTTTCAGTCTCCAAATATGCATTTWTGAAATTGAGCTGATGCTAAACCCCTACAGCTAGTCCTACTTGGCCTTCCTCCACTGCCCCCTGGTTTCTCCGTTAGTCCCTCCTTTCCTTCAGTCTTCACTTCCCTTCGCTGCTTTTTAATATTCTAAATCAGAGATTTACAGTTTCTCTACTCTCAGTAAATCCCTTCCTGAAGTCATCCATCAGAACTATAGTCAAGGGCTGGGGATGTAGCTCAGGGGAAGGTGCTTGCTTAGCATGTGTAAGGCCCTAGTTTCAATCCCTAGTATGGCAAAACAGGCAAAAAAAAAAAAAAAGAAAATGGAGCTTTTAATAAAATTATTTTATGGATTAAAAAACTATTAATAAAGAGAAACATGGACAAAGAATAGAGAAAAATTTGAAGTTCTGTTCCTGTTTTTTTGTTAGTTTTTTTTATTGCATTTTGAAAACTCAGAGAATGTTCATATTCTAAACCAGGAACATGGTAAAAATGCTATGAGCTTGTTTTTTAAAATATAATTTTTCTGTGCTTCATAAAGTGTTTCTTTATGTGAAAGCAGTTGTTATATCAAATGCAGCATGTATTCTTTCAATCTTACATGACATAGTCCACACTTTTTTTCCTCAGGAGACAAGGGTTCTTTTGATCCCTTTTAAATTGTGTCTTGGTTTTATTATTATGCCTATCCAATGGCCTTATGATTTCACTTGAGACTAAGACTAATCTTTCTACAAATGCTTGTTATTCCACTCTTAAATTTATATTTCCTCCACCCTTTCAGGTGACTTGATTTGTGGTTAATAGGACTCAACTAGTAAAAAAGCAAAAAACTAGCTGGTTAGAATTTATTGCATCTGGGACACTGTACAATTAGTAAGATGTTGCAACAAGGATTTTCCCTTCAGTATTTCCTGAGCAGCCTGCTCAAATTGACCTATATCAATGAAATAATTTTTCTCATTTTTTAATGCAGTAAACAAACGTGTGTTCATGGAAGAAAGTTTATTTTGCCAACAACACTAGGGTGAATCCTGGTAATGAAAGTATTGCCTTCATTGGCTTGGGCCTCAAGCAGGTGCAAGGAAGCTTTTATTCATTTTCAAGGGGATCCTTACAGAGTTATATAATWGGGAACCCTGAAGAATGGGCACCACTGTCTACAAATGGCCTTCATTGTACTGTAAAAGAGGGGGTTTCATAAAATTGGAACTATGACCTTAGAAAGGAGGGTATTTCGGAGGACTTACAAGGCTATAGGTCCAGAGGGGAGACATGGCCTTGAGCTTCAACCTCACTTACCAGAACGGTGTGAAGGCCACCTGTCCCAAGAATTTGAAAAATCTTTTTAGGTCAAAGCAATTTGTGAGATTGAAAAACTGTTACCTCTTATTATTTTGTTGGGGGGGTGGGTACCGAGGATTAAACTCAGAGGCACTCACCCACTGAGCCACATTCCCTATTTTGTATTTTATTTAGAGACAGGGTCTCACTGAGTTGTTTAGCGCCTCACTTTTGCTGAGGCTGGCTTTGAACCTGGAATCCTCCTGTCTCGGCCCGCCAAGCCACTGGGATTACAGATGTGCCCCACTGTGCCCAGCAATTACCTCTAATTAAGATTATGAGGGAGGCATTCAGAAGGTTTTGCTGTATGTTTCTTAATAGTAGCAGAGGATTAGAAAAAGTTCTCTATAAATTATGTAACTAGTCTTCCTGGCTAGCCTGACTCGAGCAATATAAGAGATACCCTGTTTTAATTTATAAACTCAGTAGCATGCATCAGCATAAAAACAGCCTATTAACTAAAAATATCTAATTATTTATTTTATATTAGGATTAGAACCCACGGCCTCACTCCTGTAGGCAAACACTCTACTACCAATTCACATCCTCAGCCCTTTTTATTTGTTAAAACAGGGTCTCAGTAAGTTACTCCGGCTGACCTTGAACTTAGGATCATCCTGCCTGGGATTTTAGGGCACCACCATTCCAATAAATTATTTTTATTGCCTGTTGGGTTTTATTTTTTTCTATTTTGTTTTAACTCAAATGCCAAGGAACAGAGATGCATTAAATTTTCTAACATGTGATAGTAACTATGGTACTTAAGGTTTATAAAATAACTTTTCATATACTTAATCTCATTTGAATTTATTGATAACCTTTGAGATAAGGTGGTATTATTCTTTCCATTTTACAGAGGGGGATTTGTCTAAGATCACACAGCTAGTAAATGAGAAAGCCAAAAGAGGCATCCCAGTTTTCTGACCTTAGTAACAATAAGAACAATAGTTAGCATTTACTGGGACTTGCATACTTAGTGCTTTGTATACACTACTTTTTTCTTTTCTTTTTTTGTGTATGTAGTGCTGGGAGTTGAACCCAGGGCCCCAGGCACACTGTGTATGCTACTAATGAGCTACACCCCCAGCCTTGCATACACTATTTCTAATGCTTACCACAGTCCTCTTGAAGACTATTCTCCCATCTTTATAGCAAAATTCGGAGGCTCAAAGACATTGACCAGTTTGCTAAGGACTTAGCTAAGTAAAAAAGCCAAAGTGCAGACCCAGGCCTGTGTGACTTCAAATTACAAACTCCTACCCATTATTACCCCATGGTGTCCCCATGCAATGCATTTTTAATTTATTAAAAATAAATTAAATTAGGGGCTGGGGTTATGGCTCAGCATTAGAGCGCTCGCCTCACACCTGCAAGGCCCTGGGTTCGATCCTCAGCACCACAAGTAAATAAATAAAATAATTTGTTAAAAAAAAAAAAGAATTCATTAGGTCTGGGGTTGTAGCTCATTGGTAGAGCACTTGCCTAGCACATGTGAGGCACTGGATTCAATCCTTAACACCACATAAAAATAGGTAAATAAAATAAAGGTATTGTGTCCATCTACAACTAAAAATTTTAAAAAAAGAATTCATTGATTTGTTGACTTAGTGGTTTGACTTTAGATTATATTCTGGTTGGTAGAGGCATTAGTAACTTCAGAGTAAAACATGAGAGAAGAGGTGTGAAATGTGGCCATTATTGAAAGTTTCTTTTTCAGTAATGTTCATCAAAATTTACTGAGAAATAAAGGTGCATTTGGCCGTCTCTGCCTTCAAGAGTCTTAGCTTTAGTCAGAGAGATAGAAGGAAACTCAGGATGGAATATGGTGACTTCCTCCAGATTTAGGTATCACAGCTAGCTCTTTGTTATTGGGACAGAAGACTGTAGCTGGCTGCAGGAGCTAGTATCAGAACCCTTTAAAGGAGGCTAGAATGTGGAGAATGGGAGGGATCAGGCAAGGACAGAACTGAGCTCAGGTCTGGAGTTCAAGGAGCAGCAAGAGTGGAGAGGCTCTAGCAAGTGGGCATCACTTGACAAAACCAAGGCAAACAAAAAGGGCAGAGCCGGAGGGAGCCCAAGTTCAAGTTCTAGAGATATATGCCAGTTGAGGAAGCCAAACCAAGAAGAGCAGATGTGGTTTGGCATCCCCTAGAGAGCCCAGAACAGTGCAACAAAACTTCCAGTGCTGGCCATGCTCAACTCATTGAATAGAGGAAGAGCAGTTTCTGGCACAAAGAACCATATTCTCACTGCCTGCTTTCCACCTGAAGTGCCACCCATCTCATCAAACACTTAACCAATGCAGGCTCACAGAGAGAACTCATGGGCATGTTTGCCACCATATTTCATGCCTATTTTCACCCTTTTTGGTAGATTTGCTCATCAATAGTGAGATAGCAAAGAGGTGGAGCTTGAGAGGAAAAGAAGGAAGTCTGAGAAAATCAAATGCACATAATCTGCACCTTACCCTTCTTTCCTTCTACCCCTCTTTTTATTCATTGGTTCATCATTTAGCAAACAAGTAGTAAGTCACTTCAAAGTGTATTGCTTCAGAAGTCATAGGGCATTTAAAGAAGAGGTTACAAGGAGCTGCAATTGTAGCTCAGTGGTAAGAGTGCTTGCCTAGCATGTGTGAGGCACTGGGTTCGATTCTCAGCACCACATACAAATAAATGAACAAAATAAAGGTCCATCAATGTCTAAAAAATATTAAATGGAGAAAAAAAAGAGGTTATGATTTAGGGTTTTTCTAACCTTTTTTTTTTCTTAAAGAGAGATATAATTTTTAATATTTATTTTTTAGTTTTCGGCAGACACAACATCTTTGAATGTGGTGCTGAGGATTGAACCCGGGCTGCACGCATGCCAGGCGAGCGCRCTACCGCCTGAGCCACATCCCCAGCCCTTTTCTATCCTTCTTGATCCCATGCCCATTTGTTACAGTCTCTCTTATCCAGAGACCTCTCCTGAAGTTCAGGTGACCTAATCATCGATGTGGGATCTAAGTGTCTTACCTGTGAACAAACTGAGCCAGTGAGCTAGTGTGACTTGAGCAGCAATGTGAAGAAAGGAGACTTGGCCACCTTGCCTGACCTTGGCCTTGCAACATGCTGTTTACTACAAAGACAAGAAATGGCCAGTGATGCCCCTCCATCTCCTGCCCCCCAAAAGCAATTTGGAGTTAGCTCTGATGTTCGGAAGATTGTTGTTAATCAACATTGCAGTAGCTTTCTTTTAATTGTAGAATAATATATATAAATTAGGAATTGTAGGAATCAAGTTTTTGTGTTTTCACCACTGAGTAGCTTCTTTCTTCTGTAGGCAGGTCTTAATTCTAAATGTAACATGCCTGGGGTGGTGGGGAGGGGGACATGTCACCACCTAAAGGATTCTTCTCTTTAGCACAGTATTTAATAGCAACATCATACGGTTGCCATTTGAAGTGCAGCGAGGTTCAAAGGCTACCTTCCATTGTGTGAGTGATGTACAGAGACTGAACACTCAGACTCTTTACTAAATGCTTAGCCATTGCACAATATCCTGGAACAGCAATTTGGCAAATCAAAGAATAAGGGCTGGGGATGTAGCTCAATGATAGAGTACTTGCCTTCCATGTGGAAGGCCCTGTGTTCAAATCCTCAGTACCACACACACACACAAAAGAGAGAAATAGGTCAGATAAAAAACACTTCCAAATATCATATTCTTTTTTTTTTTTTTTTTGGTCAGGGAGGTGTAGATCTATAGAGGGAGTTTTTGCAAAGACCAGGTAGACAGTATGTGACCTTTACAATAATGGTCTTATACTATATGTGCTAAGCAGTTCCGATGTACTTTCTGAGTTCCACATTTATAGTGTTGCAGAGCCACTTAACAGTGATGACCCATGTGACCAGTGGCTTTCATTAACCCAAAGACTGACACAATGGATTGCTCTGAGAAATGGTTTTGAAGCACATTTCTGAAATGTACAATCCTATGGGTCCCRGCAATCTTTCTTTGAGGTATCACTTTACACTTAAGTTTTTCTTGGTAGAGTATTTTTCAAAGACTTCTCTTCTGAGGCTAAATTAGGAATTTCTATTCCTTATTCGAGTTCCAAGAACTGTGCCTTTCCTGCCCTCCGCCCAACTTGGAAGATAGAAACCGTGGGAAAGAGCGTCTTTACAAACTGCATTTAGTTATCTAACTTGGTTTATTTAGCATATTCAGGAAGACTTTTGCATCCATGGAACCCTATCTGTGTTCATTCTCTTCAAGGGTTTTTTTCCCTGGGTTCTGCAGGGTTGGGAGGAGGGCCAGGCCCAAGCTCTAGGTAGAGTTGATGTGGAAGGTTCAGATCGATTTTTCTCTTTCCAACATTTTCACCTCCTCAAATAGAAAAAGGGAGAAAGGGAAATAAGGAAACAAAGCGTTGTGGAAATTTATGTAATTGAGAGCATAAAGATCTGGAAGAATATGCATTCCTGCAGTTCTGTTCTAGGCACTGAAGAGTTGACCCAATGAGACGGCTTCTAACCTTCATCCATCTCAGTCATGCCTGGGAAGGATGTTAGTGCTAATTTTAGACACTGAGACTAAGATGCACAAAGAACAAGTATCATAAAGCATTTTTGGAGCCAGGAACAGATTTAAATTCCTTGACTCATTGCTGCTCTTCCTCCAAACCACACAATTGTACCCAAGTGAATTGCCGTTAGAATTGGTGCCTTCAGAGGAGACAATTGCTCATAATTGGTAGCCATAAGCCACTTCACTGAGAAAGCGTGGGGTCTTAGATGCTTGAAAGAATAATTGACAGAGGCTTGAGTGAGTCAAGCACTTCTRAGTCACACAGCTTTGGTCTTGTTTTTCCCTGTCAGGAAGATGAAACCCAAGGCAGAGCCTGTCTACCAGACCAGAAGCCTTTCCCTCATAACCTACTTCCAACCAGTGTTGACCCAAGTGTGTTTATCAAACCACCTTTCCAGATTTCTTAGGGACGGATTCCTAGGCTCCCTCCCTCCACCCAATCACTGCCACAAGAGGTAGTCCTATTTCAGAATGACTAGTTCCTAAAGATGGCAGATCATCTGGATCACTCAGAGTGATGTCTTAGTTTAAAACTATAAATCATATAATTTTCTTTTGTTTTAATGGAAGAAGGGTCATATTATGCATTTTGTCCTACAGCTTGGTTCCTTCCACCCCAGCTTTTTTTTAACTTACAGAATATTAAAACAAACTTCCATACAAATCTATTCCCTTTTTTCTTTTCTTTTTTTAGTGCTAGGGATTGAACCCAGGGCCTTGTGCTTGTGAGAAGCACTCTACCAACTGAGCTATATCCCAGCCCCTCTAGCCCATCTTTAAAGGGTAACAACTCATCTGCCCACAGGGCCTAGACCAAGAGCATACACAAGCTAAGTTCGACAGTAAATTTTCAATCCAGTGGAATCAGATGCTAATCCTGCCACTTAGGAATGTGAGTTAGGAGTTGCAAAATCTAAGTTTTCAAGAAAAGTACGAAATCTGAATTTCTTAAATGGGCAATCTCCAGATTGTTCAGTATTGGTAACTAATTAAAATTAAGTGCTAGGTGAACCATCCAAAATGCTTTCAGTGCTCTCAAGCCACCCTTTTGAAACCTCTATTGCTTGTATACATAATGTCCCACAGTGAAAATGTCATACTTATTTAACATTTCTTCTATTGTTGAACATTTAGCCATGAAATTACAAATGTGACACTGAACATTCTTGTGGGAGGTACCACACCATGTTACCAGCATTTTCCTTCCCTGATTGGTTGAGGCTCTATCGGTCACTTCCCATGATCAGGACACACCAAAGTGGCTCCAGATAGCAACCCGGATCTTGGAAGTTGTAAAATGTCGCAAAATATGTCTTCATGCGTAGGCCTGCCTTCTTATAGCCCCAGGGGTCAAATTACCTTACCTATCCTTGTAACCTGCCCCCCTTGACCTTTTTTTGGATGGAAAAAAATGAGAGTCCCCCAATAAAAGCCCACTCCCAAACGTGCTAGCTCCCTCTCGCCAGCCTCTTGTGATATTCCTTGCTCTCCCATTTGGGGGGCTTGAGGCCAAGGGCAGAGGAGCTGTCCCAGGGTTTGAATTAAAGGTAAATTGTGTGTCTGTGTTTTATTTGGTACCTTAGGAAATTCACTCAAGCAACCCTTAGTTGGCTGCCTGCGCTGGCCAGGGGCACATTCTTATCTTTGAGTGTTTGTACACACAATTCTAGAAGTGGAGGCTGCCTTTTAAAATGTTCTAATTTACGGTCCTAGTAACGGGACATTAAGAGGGTCCTTTTCTGGGAAGCTTTAAAGTAACTCCCAAGATTCCCCAAGATGCAGTAGGTCTGATAGGGAGCAAAATGGAGTATTTTTTAAAGCTCCCTGGTGATTCTGATAATCAGCAATCTTAGAACCACTGACTAGATTACTGAGGAGTTATTGGGGGCCAATTCCAGTGAATTATGAAAACTGTAAATACTTTCATTTGTACTTCTATGTTCAGACTTTCCCCTCTAACTACAGCCCTCTAAGATAACATGAAAATGGTTCTACTGCTGCTATTTCAGTTCAGTCGGAGTTCAGGACAACAATCTTGGGAGCCTTCCAGTAGCTTTTATTGGCATAGCCTAGGAAAAGATGTAGGAGCCATTTCTGAGCAAAAATTTGTATCCCAGCAAGGTAGTCAGTGTTATGTTTAACACACCACTGAACCAGAAAGTTGAAGTCCCTGAAACAGACACAGCCAGGCACTAAGAGGCTCCAAAATCAATAGGCAAAGCCCTGCTGCTCTTTTAAGACCTAAAAGGCAAGAGCCAGTCCTGGATGTGTGGCTTGTTCTGGGATGACTAAAAAGGCAGAAACAGGATCAAGTTTTTAAGGTTTACTCTGTCCACTCCCCCACTGCTAGGAGGATGCATTGTAGCAGCAGCACCGAGTCTCCTCTCCACTGTGACTAAGCAGTTTCTGCTTAGAGTAAGTGGTGGTCATAAGACATGGTCATCAGGATGGTAGAGCTCACTCATCAGGCGATAGATGTACGACGGTGCGTTCCCACCGATGTTGGAGATAAACAGGGTAATGAGCTCAGGGGGAACGTAGTCAAACACAGGGCAGTGAACGCTGACCTTCTCCAGAATGTCCCCTGAAAGGCAATCACAACTGCTAAAGATAAAGCTGAGGCTCCTACTCTAAGAATTAAGTTGCATATGGAGCCGAGGCTCAATAATGCAGGCATGTAAATACCTAGGAAGGGAAGTTGTGGCAAAGTAAAAACTGGAAGACAGGATTCCAGACCATAATTCTCCGCACTTAAAACTGTCCAATTCAAATTGGAGAGTTTGAATTAAAATTCAAACTCGAGATTGCAACCTTCAAAATCTGTTCTCTCCACCCCACCACATTATGATTTGTACTCTCCCCGATGCTCACAAATTTCCAGCCATATGGCCATCTTTTTCCAGATGGGAAAGTATATTACCAATCTCAGGCTCCTGTACCAGTGCCTAGAAAACCCTTGCCCTGATCTTCACATGGCAGGTTCTATTCATTCAGTACCTGGTGGCAACGTGATCTCATGAAGACCCTTGCCCAATCTCGTTAGTACCTTAGCCACTTTCTAAGACATCCTTTTGTTTTCTTCCTAAAGTATCCCAGGACCTGACATTTCTTGTCTGTTGTTCACACAGAGTAAAAGCTCTGTGGAAACAGGGCCTTATTACTGTTATATCTGCCGTGCCTCATGACGGTGCTCAATACATATTTCTTAAAGAGTGGGTATTTAAATAAAGGGATGAAATTATTCAACTTCCAAAAATTAGGATACCACATATTGTGCTTTGTGCTTAGAGAGTGTTTTGGGCCAGCTTAACTGCTTAGGAGGCAGCAGGTTCATTGAGCAGAGAAAAAGACCCTGATATACCAGGGCATCCAGGCTATAGGTGAGTAGGAACATTCCAGAGCTTGCTCCTTTGGCAGTCAGTTCACCAAAATGACTCCCTACAGCAAATGAACACAGGTAAAGTTTCCTACGCAATTGTTGCCTGTATTTCAAATCATGTGCAAAGCCAAACCCAGTTAATGCTGAGTGCTCCAACCAACCATAGCCCCAAGAACTCAGATAACACATACTAGTCTAAGAACAAATTAAAAGGACTAGCTCAGATCCCTAAGCACTCTCAGCTGCTAAATATAAAGTCTTCACAAGAAGTATAATAAAAAAACACACCTTTCCAGTACTCAATCCTACTAACCACCCCAACAACAAAAAGACCAAACACACACACACACACACACACTCTCCACTCTTCAGTACCTTCTGTGAAAGGCAGGACTTCTTCAGGAGCCACAAACTTGTGAAATGAATCTTCTTCATTGGGGAACTAGGAAGGAAAAAAAAAATTTAAAAAGAGACCTAGCAATTCCACTCTTAATTTACCTAAGAGAAATGAAAATATATGCCCATACAGATGCTTAAAGTAGCATTATTTAAAAAGCCAAAAGGAACCATCTCAAATGCCTATCCACAAACGAATGGATAAACTGTGGTGTACCCAATGGAATCTTTCCTTAAAATGGAAATTCTGACATGCGTTACAACATGGATGAATCTTGAAAACATTCTGCTAAATGAAAGAAGTCAGAAACAAAATGTCACATATTGTATGATTCCTTTGATATAAAAATATCCAAAATTGGCAAATCCATAGACAGAAAGCAGACTAGTGGTTAATAAAAGATGGGGAAAGAGGAGTAGGGAGCAATGACTTAATGGGTACAGGGTGTTTTTCTGGGATGACAAAAAGTTGTAAAGCTAGAGAATGGTAATTGCACAATGCTGTGAATGTACTAAATGCCAATAATTGTACATTTTAAAATGGCTAATTGTATGCTATGTGAATTTTATCTCAATTAAAAAATACAGAGACATATAAATACGTTGTTTTCAATGCAAATAGTTTTTATCACTGACAAAATGGCTCTTTACTTAGCAACTGCTTGTATTCAGGCCATAAAGACAGGCCTTTATGACAATGAGGAATAGGACCAATTCTATGACCCTACTTTCAACCTGCTAGGCATTTTCAGAAATGATTGGGGCAATGGGGGGGGGGGGTGTTAATTGTATGCACAAGGCCTTTCCTTAGTCCATATTGTCCTGACATTATAATTTTACCTTCTAAAACTGGCAGGATATAACTATCAATTGTGCTTTCTGGATCAAGACTTCTGTGGCTCTTTCTATCCTCTATTGGGTCTAATCCATTAAGTAGAATGAGTAGGTTGAAAGCCAAGTTCAAGCCTACACTCTGGCTTCCTTCTTTCTGTTGCCTACAAGCTAGAGACATACCTGTGGGGAAAGCTTGAACATGGGTGCACAGACGATGAGTGGTGTGAAATGGTGCTTTGCTGCCAGTGCCAAAGTATGGGTTCCTGCCACAGCTCGCAGCGCACCATTAGCCAGGATGGTTTTTGTGCCAATGATCACCTTTGGGACAAGAAGAAAAATGTAAGCCATCTTGGGGGCCATTGGCCACCACAGGGTGAATGCTCAGGCCTCCATCTTGGCACCCTGAGAAATCACAGACCAGCAGGTGGAAAGTGAGCCTAGGCTTAGTACTATAAAGTTCTGGCTTTCCCAAGGAAAGAATGAATGGAGCATGGAACAGGAAACCGCAATGCCTTCTGCTCTCTACCCTGTCTTTTCTGGAATCTATCTGCCATACCTCTCGAGAAGCCAGGAGTCTTCTTTATTTACCATCTACTATTGCCAAGTTCTTTTGAGCCTAGGGCAGGAACCCTGTAGCCAATCCCTAACAGCTGACACTCCTAGCTTGATTCTACTTCTATTTTTTCAATTCTTTAACCAAATTTAGATGCTACTCCAAGTGAAGAACAGTGATGCAGATAAAAAGGAAAGAAAATCAGTTAATAGATTTAAAATGCCTAAGTATATACTTTCAAAGGGTTAACTAGAATCTTTCTTCTCTTACCATAAATATTAAGAGAAGGAAAAAAATCAGTATTTTAAAAATATAATCCTCATGAATTCAACAGTAACTTGAAAGATACCAACCTTGTTGACTCTTGACATAACAGCAAAAATAGCAGCATCAGTCATGACAGTAGTCTCAATACCTGCTTTGGACAAATTGACAGCCATTTCATGACCCTGCAATAGGAGGGAAAGGCTGATGCTGTGAGAGAAAGAAACAATGAAAAAGAGCTCTCGGATGTACCTGCGGAATGCTACGCTATAGACATATCCAGCAGCCAGTTTCCAAAAGATAACTCCCTTTTCTGCCTATGATGGGTATTCTCTTATGAGCCGCGGGAAAGCTAATAAATATATATTACTCCATAGCAGCACTAGAGTAGCCACAAAACTGGAAATACAACTTGCTTGCATAATGGAGCACAGCTGCCACAACAGCTCCTGGCTCATTCTTTTACAACATCCTGCATCCTTACATATTTATCTTTTTGAAACCTATTATTTACTTAAGGATTGGGTGAGATCAGTCCAAGCACCCATCATCCCCAAAGTAAATTACCCTCTTTTGATTCCTAAAAGAACCAGTTTATCTCTTCTTGGACCCAATAGTGTYACCCAACTTTCTTAAATTATAGATTGAAAATATTCACCAGATGAACAACTTGAAAATTCTGTTAATGTTTTATTTCCACCCATCCCTCCTTTATTCCCTCATTTTTCACTTTTCTTAGCAACTCTAACAGTCCCCCTACCTGGCAGAAAGGAGCACACTCTGCCACAATGACATGGAATTTCCTCTTTCGGGCAGCCTCTTTGAGGAAGGCCTCCACTGTTCTGGAGAAGCCAATGGTCATAATCACCTCATTGGAATGGATGTGCTCCAGAGCCTGGGCTGCAATGTTCTCCGTGGTGCCCTCTGCAAAAACATTTTTTTGTAAGGAAAATATGAAACCACTATGCCACATCACAGATATGACAACAGTATGACAAGGGATGTTTGCCCTTCACATAAACTGCCCACCTGGCAGAATCTAGTACCACAGGTTAATGGGCTTAAAATGAAATGTCACAATTTCTTAAAAGCTCCCCTCCTCTGGGATTTTCTACTTCCTAAGATCTTAGCCTGCATCCCTTTTCCAGCAGCATTCCTGCTCATCAATTTTCTCCCTGCCACAATGCTGGCTCTTATAATTGCTCTGAAGACAGTAAGCAATCTGGGGAACATGAAAGTGCTGACTGTGAGGTAAACAGCTCCTTCCTAAAAGAACTCTTTCTCCAAAAGGTGGCCACAACAACCTCTACCTGAGAGAGGGAAGCAAGAGAAAAATGGAGAAGGAATTTGGAAGAAGTAGTTTGGGCCACAGATAGAACCTAGTCTTTTTACCCTATGAGGAACTCTGTAATGAATATCTGTAGGTCTCCTGGATCACAGAGACAAGGTATATATGTATGAAGAAAAAAAATATATAAGAGAAAGTTTAGTAAGGGAGGGTGTAGCAAGTGTGGTTTTAGGAAGTTTATTTTCTTTGAAATGAAATTAAAGCCCTATCCTAATAGAGTCTTTGAGACAGAGTATTTGCAGCCTATAAAGGATTGGTCTGTCAGGAAAAGTAGGGAAGATTACTTTAGTCCTGCTGCCTATTCCACCCATTCCTAATCAAGGAACCAGAAGACGAGTCATCCTTCCCACCTCTGCTGATGAACGACTTCCAGGGGCTTGCTTCTGTTTTCTCATCCCTTGCGACCTGTTGGGTCCACCCAGTGTTCAGACATCTTACCCAGCTCCACGAGCAGCTCATTAATCGCCTCAATTATGTTGGACTGAAGTTGGTCATAATGGACGCTGAAATCCTCGCTCAGGCCTCCGGATGTCAAGAGTTTGTGCAGGGACTCCTGCTGATCGCTCTCATCACTGCGTCCGTGCAGTCTATGGGGGCAACAAGACCCAAATGGGGAGGAGGTATAGTCAAGTAAGCAACAGGTGCTGCTCAGCAACAGTAGTTGCTCTAAGTATTCAGAGAGCACATGCAAAAAGTGTCACTGCGTCCAACCCAGAGCCCAGGCGGTGAGCCTGACCTGCCATACTCCTCCCGGATGATCTTGAGCACTCTCCGCACCATGTTGCCCACCGTGGTCTCCGAGGGCTGCGCGGCCGTCATCCTCCGGCCCTCTCTGCGGATCAACTCCATCAGCTCCCCTACATCCCGAGAGAGAGGGTGTGGGACAGAGCAGCTACAATGCTGCCAGGGTAACTTAGCCTAGGGATCGGGGACGTGAACGAGGCAGGTCTGCCTCACCTGCGTTACTCCAGCGGTGGTCCGTGATGATCCGGCGCAGTAGCCCCAGGGTCTCCCGAGCCATGTGCTCCGAGCTGCGCTGCCCACCACCCCGCTTTAGGGTCTCCACAAAGCTCTCGATCCTCTCGGACAACTCCGAGCCCTTCGCCGCGGCTCCCGGCATCTTGGTGACAGGCGGAATCCACACCTGGAAGACTCAGGGTTGCACTTCCGGGGCGGGAAAGGTCAACTTCCGCTCCAAGAAGAAAACTTCGGTTTGAGAGACAGTAGGTACGCCCCTTTCATCTGCTTGGGCCAATCAGAGACGTGGAGCTCTGGTAGTTCGCTTTCCACGGTGCGCCTCGGCCGGAAGTGGTTTTTCTGAGGGTTCTGAAACTGAGCTGGGGTGACCGGTCCCGCCTGAAGAGGCGGTGCGGCTGGGGAAGGCTACTCTGCTGCTATGGTAACGGCAAGCCTCTACGCAGGCTCTCAGCAACCCGAAGCMGCGCGGGAGAAGTCTCCGCCCTCCTTCCTGGCCCCGCAGCTCGATGACCGTCTGGTGTCCTGAATCAAASGCTGCAAGTGGGCGTCCAGGGCCTGCTGCTCCTTGGGAAGAYGCCCCATTATAGTGTTGATTATTGCATGGTACTGATTGCTCCCGTCTCCCTAATGGATTCAATCTCGCGAAGACCGGACCGTTATCTATTTTGCCTTTATATTCCCGCGGCTTGGCACGTCTGATGGAAGAGAGAGGAATAGGGGATGAAGAAAGAGCCCGTTTACAAGGATTTCATAATAGGAGCTAATACGGGAGCAAAGATGATGGCCTCCGATTTGGTAGACTTTCCGACCTACCCAGTATTAACAGCTACCATTTACTTCAGGCCTATCATGTAATGGGCACTGTGTGTGAATTGACTCTTCTTCAGTCCGGTGAAATGGATATCTTACCCCATTTTACAAGGGAAACAGACCCACAATATTTAAGCAGTTAAGAAAGGGAGTAGTTCACACTTGTATCAGGTCTATCKGAACCCAAAATCTGTAATAGGAATCTCTATTTTTTTTTTTTCCTCCCTGTCATGGGGATTGAATGCAGGGGCCTTTTACTACAGAGCTACATCTCCAGCCTTTTTATTTTGAGACAGGATCTCGCTAAATTGCTGAGGCTGCCCTCKTACTTTTGCAGTATCCTCCAGCCTCAGCCTCCTGAGTCACTGGTATTACCCGTATGCCGCCGCTCCCAGCTCGAATTATTTCCTTGAGATAAATTCCTCAAAGCCAAGTCCTTAGGCATACACATTTTCAAGGCTTTGACAAATTAGGCATACACATTTTCAAGGCTTTGACTATTGACAAATTATCCTCCAGAAAGATTTTACCAGTATCAAAATCAGCCAGAGCTGAGCACGGTGGCGTAAGCCCGTAATCCCAGCGGCTTGAGAGGCTGAGGCAGGAGGATCACAAATTCAAAGCCAGCTTCAGCAAAGGTGAGACACTGAGCAACTCAATAAACCCTGTCTCTAAAACAAAATACAAAATAGGGCTTCTAGGGATGTGAGTGCCCCTGAGTTAAAACCCCGGTACCCCCCCCCCAAAAAAAAGACAAAGATAGTACAAAAAAACTACAGACCAAAATCTGCAACAAATTTGTTGGCACATCAAATCCAGCAACACTAAAAATGAATAATACAGGGGCTGGGGCTGTAGCTCAGTTGTGAAGTTTTTGCCTCACATGTGTGAAGCACTGGGTTTGATCCTCAGCACCACATAAAAATAAATAAAGATACTGTGTATTCATCTACAACTAAATAAATATTTTTTAAAAAAAATAATACATATGTGTGAAGCAGAATTTAAACCTGAAATGCAAAGCTGGTTTAACACTTCAAAATCAATCAATTTAAACACCATATTAACAATCTAAGAAGCAAAAGCACAAATTTATATCAATAGATGCAAAAAGAAACATTTGATAAAATTCAAGATCCTTTCATGATTAAAAACTAGAAAACTCTGAATACAAGGGAACTTCTTCAATTGATAAGGAATGTTTACAAAATCATACACCTAAAATCATACTTTATGGTAAAAGACTTCTAAGATTAGGAACAAAGAAGATATCTGTTCTAACCACTCCCAATTTAATATTACCTCAAAATTCTGACCATTGCAATAAGGCAAGAAAAATAAAAAACAGCATTGTCTACATAGAAAAATGCTAAAGGATCAACAACAGCAATAGAAAAAGTTTAGCAAGGATACAAGGTCAGCACACAAAAATGAATCATATTTATATAATAGCAATGAATAATTAGAAAACAATTGCTATAAAAAGTCATAGAATATCAGTTTTGTTGTGTGCAAATCTTAAAGTGTCTTTAAAATTATTTTACTTTACATACTTGCTAGCGCTTACTACATTCTGGCCAATTTGGGGCTTTGTCATTCTTTTCCATATATCAACCCGTTAAAAATCAAAATATGAAGGGCTGGGGTTGTGGCACAGTGGCAGAGGGTTCAATCTTCAGTACTACATGAAAATGAAAAGGCAAAATAAGAAAAATAAAAAGATATTGTGTCCATGCATAACTAAAATATTTTTAAAAAATCAAAATATGAGCCAAGTCTGGTAATGCATGCCTRTAATTCCAGCAACTCAGGAGGCTTGAGGCAGGAGGATTACAAATTTGAGTCTAGCTTCGTCAACTTAGTGAGACCCTGTCTCAACATTTAAAAAATTAAAAAAAAAAAAAAGAGGTGAGGCTGTAGCTCAGTGGTAAAGTACTCCTAGACTCCCTCTCCAGTCCTTAGGGGATAAAAGTTTGAACATGACAACTTAGACCTTCACTGGGAAACAGGTATGGTTGGGGCCATGCAGGGCCAGAAAGAAGTGAGAACTGTCTTGAGACAGGGCTCCAAATGAATAAAAAGGCTAGGGATGTGGATCAGGGGCTAAGTGCCCCTGGGTTCAATCCCTGGTACCCAAAATATTTTAAATAAATAAATATCTTCTTCCAGTGTTAAACTTCACATGACAGGAGGGAAACAGAATTTCAAAACAACAAAAATGAAAAAAAGTATATTTTCATACATACAAAATAGTGTGTATGTGTGTGTGTGTGTGTGTGTGTGTGTGTGTGTGTGTGTGTACACCAATCCCTCAAACTAAAATGTTCACTCATAGATACAGAAAGTAGATCAGTAACTGCCAGGGGCTGGGTAAAAGGTGAAAGTTTTGTTGAATTTCTAGTTAAAGTTAGAAGTTAACAGTTGTCATTTTGTTTGTTTTGTTTTGTTTTTTAAAGATGTTGATGGATCTTTATTTTATTCATTTATCTATATGTGGTGCTGAGAATTGAACCCAGTGCCTCGCACATGCTAGGCAAGCACTCTACCACTGAGCCACAACCCCAGACCCCAGAAGTAAGTTAATAGTTTTGCAAGATGGAAGGAGTTTTTTGTTTTTGTTGTTGTTGTTTTGTGTTTATATATTAGTTGTAGTTGGACACAATATTTTTATTTTATTTATTTTTTTATGTGATGCTGAGGATCGAACTCAGGGCTTTGAAATTGCTAAATGAGTGCTCTACCGCTGAGTCACAACCCTAGCCCCATTGTGTTTTGTTTTTTAAGGATGGAAAGAGTTCTAGAGATAGAGGGTAAATGATGTTTGTACATTTACATTGCACAGCATGCTGCTGAACTGTAAACAAAAAGTTTAAGGTGGTAAATTTTGTTTATTTTACTGCAGTTTTAAAAWTTATGTGGCATATTTTTAAAAATACAATAAATATTAACACTTCAATGTTGTGTTTCCTCTACCCCATTTCTCTGCCTTCTCCCATATATGAGGATAACTGATAAACTAAATTCTTACTGATATTTCATTGCTTTATTTAAAAAGTATATACATTTGGGATCCTCAAACAACTTATTTTTTTTAAAGAGAGAGAGAGAGAGAGAGAGAGAGAGAATTTTAATATTTATTTTTTAGTTTTCGGCGGACACAACATCTTTGTTTTGTATGTGGTGCTGAGGATCGAACCCGGGCCGCACGCATGCCAGGTGAGCACGCTACCGCTTGAGCCACATCTCCAGCCCCCTCAAACAACTTATTGTTTAGTTTTATTTGTTTATATATAGCATTTATAATGGAATTTTGCACAGCTTCCCTTTTTCATTGAAAATAACATTTCTAAACATCATCCATGTCATTGCCTGTGTCTTTAGTTCTCTTCTTTGCACTGTTACATAGTATTCCATTGTGTGATTATATCACAATTTATTCATTTTTCTTCAACAGATTTGAGTTGCTTCCAGTGGTTTTGGGGGATGAGTGAGTATAAACTATGAGCATTCTTGTATATAGCTTGGCATAGCTTTAAGTGGAACAGCTGGATCCTAGGCTATATGAGTGTTTTTTAACTTCACAAATAGGTGAAGACCTATAATCCCAGTGACTCAGGACCAAGGCAAGGGGGTTGCAAGTTTGAGGCCAGCCTTAATAACTTAGTGAGACACTGTCTCAAAAAAAGAAAGAAAGAAAAATGGTTGGGAATGTAGTTCAGTGACAAAGTATCAGTGTGTTTAATACCCAATACCAGAAGGAGAAGGAAGGAAAGAAGAAAGAAAAAGAAAATTAAGTCTAGTCTTTAAAGTGGTTAAATTAATGCSTACTCCTCCAGCAGTATTTAGATCCTTATGAGCATACAGTATTTTCAGTTATCATWTTGGAGAGTCAGGTAGGCATAAAAGGATATTGCATGTTTCTTTGGGTTTTTTTGTTTTTTTTGCTTTTTGGAGACTGAGTTTCTCCATGTAGCCGGAGCTGGACTTGAACTCAAACTCAAGTGATTCTCTCACCTCAGCCTCCTGAGTAGCTGGAACTATAGGCACATAGCACCTAGCTGGTTTTCATTGTTCTTTTAATTTGGATTTTCCTGATTATTACTTTACAGTAGTGGTAGGTTAACAGTTGTTGTTATTCTTTTTTTTTTTTTTTTGCCACTTTTTTTAACCATGTGTTCTTTGTGAAATTTCTGTGCCTTTGCCTACTGTGATGGTTTGGATATGATTTGAAGTGTACCTCAAAATGTGTTGGAAGCTTAGACCTTAGTGAGGTGATAGTGAAGTTTAGATATTGGGGACTTTAAAGGTGGGGCCTAGTGGGAGGTTCTTAGGTCACTGAGGACACTGCCCTTGGAAGGAATTAAGGAAGTTCTCATGGAACCCCTTGGG